CATCCACATCAAACAGTAGATTACTATTCTTAAAAGACTGATTGTACTTAGAATGATTTGTTAAGACTGGGGTAACATGGAAATCACTTGACTAAAATCTGTATTTTAGAGATGAAGAAAACAGAACTCCAAGAAAGGGCTTTTCCAGGGTCATGTTGCTCAGTTGTGTCTATCTTGAACCACTAGCCCACGTCTGAGAATTGCTACTTGGTCAGTTACTGGCCTGAAAATCCAGTGACCTTCCACAGACACTAGTGTTTTCATAATTAAATGCAGGCTGTTTTACCACCAGTACTAAAAATATGTTTTTAAAACTTGGAGGAAAAATTAACTATATATATTTCTTTAAGTTTTTGTGCTTGCTACCACTTAGTGGCTGTAGACAGCAGATGACAGAACAAATATTGAAAAAAACATGAGTTACTATCCAGATTAGATTTAACAGCTTGTGTTTCTTTTAAAGATCCATTAAGTTACTATTATTTGTGATTTTTTTTTTATTTTATACTGCATGCATGTTGATAGTCCTATTTTTTGTTTTGGCATTCAGAAACATGTAGTCAAAGATAAAGTAGGCCATTGTGCTTGGTTTGGGGGCTATGAAGAGTAAGATTTCATCCCCCTCGGTCTCTGGTTAAGTTTGGAAGTGGGAACACAAGGGGTTGGCAGTGATCAGCTCTCTTTGGATAAGAGAGGCAAGAAAGACTTCACAGGGTAGGTGACATTTGAGCTGACTTATAAAGAAGTAGCTTTTTTTTCACAAATAAAAGGTGAGACCAAAAAAAGTTCATTATGGAAATGGAAGAGGTCATTGTAATTAGAACTTTGTGAACAAAGCAGAAAGGAGTGAAAAGGCCTGGCATGTTCAAGTACTAGCAGCCACAGTTCAGTATTGCTAGAGGGTGGTGTATGAATGGGGCCATAATGGAAGACTGTGCCAGAGAGGCATCATGGACCCAATCAAGAATGATCTTTTTATTATTTTTAAAAGCTTTTGTGTATTTATTCATGAGAGACACAGAAAGAGAGGCAAGACACAGGCAGAGGGAGGAGAAGCAGGCTCCATGCAAGGAGTCCGATGTGGGATGAGTCCATCCTGGGAATACGGGATTAGGCCCTGAGCCAAAGGCAGACGCTCAACCACTGAGCCACCCAGGCATCCCAAGAATGATCTTCCTATTATAAAAAATAGGAAATTTGAACTTCATTCTTTAGGTTATGGGGGAGCCATTAAAATTTTTAAGCAAGAAAGTAATAGAATGATTGGTATTGTGGATTTCTTAGTTTTATAAGAAAACTTTAGTAAAGTGGGGTATTGTCAGACTAGAGGCAGGGAAACCAGTTAGGAGGTTAATGTAATAATCCCAGGAAGAACTGAAGGCCTGAAGTAACTAGAGCTATGGTAATAGAGACGGACAGGAACAAGTATCTGAAGAAACCTGATGGGTTGAGAAGAATCTAGATTGAGCTCCTAGTTTGTGACTCTGTGACTGGGTAGGTGGTAAGATTACCATGGGAAACAAAAATCCATTTAGGAAGTTCCATGGAGATAGGTGGATTTAAGAACCTATTGGACATCCAGTAAGCTATTGGATATATGGGGTGGGGAATTGAAGTTATATAGGGATGAAGTTTTGGAAGTTATTAGCATATGTTAACACCACTAGAGTGATAAGATTGCCCAGAGAGCAAGAATTAACTTCTGGAATCCAAAGTCTTCATTATCCAAAATACGACATATGTGACTTTTGTTAGGGGAAGGTCCATAGTTTTCTTTAGATTCTCAAAAGGGATAAACAGAGCCCCGGGTATCTGCATTAAGTGATGGGCAGCGATATAGTAAGTAGTCTCACCAAAGAAGGCAGAAAAGGAACAATAGTGAAGAGAAAAAGGTGGTATCAAAGCCTAAGTGAAGTAGCAGGAGGACTGAAGAAGAGTCGTTGGCTTGGCAATTAGAGGACTGGTAAATTGTTCCTAATGAACAAGGTGGAATTAAATGTATGTGTATGTAATGAAGCTTCCCGCAGAAACACCATGGTTTCTAAGAATTGTAAAAACCATTGGCCTACAAAAAAGTTCAAATGCCTCTGTTGAGTGTTCAAAGCTGAAATTTGCTCTTGCCTTGCCATTACAGTTGAATTTCTTGCTTCAATATTCTGAACTTTAAAGCTAGCCAGATAGCCAGATCCATCTCTTCACTATTTTCTGGATACTTCATACAAATCTTAGCTCCAAGCTTTTGCTGGTGTTTTTCATCCTGCCTGCCCTGTTCCCTACCCAACAAACCCTATCGGCTTCTCACAGTTTAGTTTGTTCTGCTTTCTCTGTACTCCTTTCTGACTATATTAATTTCCCTCTTTATATTCTAGGTATTTATCGTCTTGTTTTGCCATTTAAAATTGTACCGCCTTGCATTGCTGCTTACTGTACATATTATTGCCTCTTTTCCCAGTGAGATTTTTTTTTTTAACTCCTAAAGGTTAGCCCTACCTTATATCTCTTCACACCCCCTAGTGGCTGAACTTTCATGTACTTATTTTAAATACTAAAGATTTGAATGAATTTTAACCTAAGCCATGCATAGTGGGGGAAAATGTCTTTAAGAAAAAAATCTTATGATGCATTCTAAATTATACAGGAGTGATTGATGGATTATTTTTACAATCATACTCCATTTCTATGGGTAATCAAGAGTTGATTGCATATCAGAAGATACATCTATGAGGCTTAGGAACTTTTGGGCTTTTATTTGAGATTTTTAGCATATTGAATTAACTACGTCTGTTAAGCCAAACTAATTTTTCTGTGTAAAATTATCAACTTTTCAAAATGGGAATAGTTTTGGACTTAAAAGTAAAATACATTTACTAAAATAAGTCTATCAAGTAGAGATATTACTAGTATTTCTATACTATTTTGCCAAAGGCACTCATGTTTTATAAACATCTTTACTAGCCATAAATTAAGTAGATACCAATGGGATTAACATACAAAATATAGTCACTAATAATGCAGCTGGCTCATAACTAAACAATACATATTACTTTGGAAGCTGACTTCAGAGGCATGGTGTTACTAGTTCTGCTGAATGATAATTTAGCTTAATCATTTGATTTGAAGCCAGTGTTATTGTTTCTTTCATTATTTGCTGACAACTTTTGGCATAATCCAGGGTTATGATAGGAAAAACTGTTGTAGAAAAAAAGAGGACTAGAGTTGAATTGCTTTATTCCCAAGTCAGAAAAATTAAAAACTTCCTTAGTTAAGTAGAATAGATATGTTAGATACTGCCACATGGATCACATTATTGTTGAGCCAGATATCTACTAATGTAAATCCTAAATTGTAGTAACCTGACAGGAAGAAGAAATCTGTGTTACTTTAGTCAGCCAGTTTAACACTTAAATATATGACTAAGCTTTTCCTTTTTTTCCACTGAAATCACAATATGTATTTCCACAAAAGTACAATTTTTGTGCATATCTTCACACCTTAATTTAACCATATTTTTGAATAGGTAATGCATATTTTGACTGTTTTTGATAAAGAATAGTTCTTTTAATTCACAAGCAGTATTGCTTTGAGTAGACTATACTGAAACATTGAGATTCATCGGTGGAGAGAAAATAAAACTTACTGGCTAAGTGACTTCAGCAAAGCTGCCTCAGGGTACCTCCCCCTAATTTGCGCCTCAGCAACATTTCCTAAGTCTTCCACGTTATTTGGCATTAATAAATTATGAATAGTAAAACAAGTGTGATGCTCATCCTTACTTTATAATAAAAACTTTGTTAAAAATTTTAGGTAAAAGCAAATGTATCCCAGTTAAGGTTTTAATCTATATCTGATTTAAAATAACTAAAAACTGTAGAATACAGTTTAATCACTTTTATATTTTAGAATGTGGATATATGTTATTCCAGAGGACAAAGAAAAAATTGAAGGGCTTTAGAATTTTTTTTTTATTACACACTTGACTACGTTTTTAAAGAGAAACTTACTTAACATGGAATTCCCTGATTTTAAGGGAGGAGAACCTCATTGACTCACTGGGGTAGGAAGGCAAATTTCTAGTTACCATGGTGGCCACAACAGCAGTCAAAGGGATAAATCAAAATGTTTGCTCTTTGGTAGCTGCTACCTAATCCATTCATGCGTGAGTCTAAAGTAAGAATTCTCTGAAATAGTTATGTCCAATAGAAACAATATAAGCTACATATATGTAATTTTAAATTTTCTAGTAATCACATTAAACAAGTGAAATGAAACCAGTGAGATTGCTTTCAGTAATATTTTTAATCAGGGGCACCTGGGTGACTCAGTTGGTAGAGTGTGTGACTCTTAATCTTGGGATTGTGAGTTTGAGCCCCACATTGCTCATAGAGATGATTTTAAATTAAAAAAGATATTTCATCCAATAAAAGCAAAATATGTCAGTAATCAGTATTTTTCAAATGTTAAATATATTATTTTTTTGTTTATTGTTTGAACTCAATGTATATTGTACTTAAAGCACATCTCAATTTGGACTAGCCAGATTTCAGGTGCTCAGTAGCTACATGGCAGCTAGGAATGTTTGTATTGAACATTGTGTTTCTAGAACATCTAAGGGCTGTGTGCCCCATGATATTGAGAAGTAGAACTTGCCTTATATCCAATGTAAAATATTAAAATTCCCTACTTAGAGGATGCCTACATCTGTGCTGGTCAAGTACTAACGTAGGTCATAAATTGTTAGTTTTGAGACTACCTGTTTCCATGATCAAGATAAATACCATTGAATTTCAGTACTCTTATCTCCGAGGTGCAATTCTTTACCTGTGTTCAAACATACTAAACTAAATTCTGTATATATTTTATGTAGTATAAAGAAAACCTCTGACTCAGTGTATTCTGAACTTTATTAAGGAGAATGATAATGGCTACCTTACCCTTCAAGATATTATTTTAAGTAATTAGGACTGTCATAATCTGATTGCAATTTTCTTTTATATTTTAAGGATATGGAATATTATCTTGTAAAATGGAAAGGATGGCCAGATTCTACAAATACTTGGGAACCTTTGCAAAATCTCAAGTGCCCATTACTACTTCAGCAGTTCTCTAATGACAAGCATAATTATTTATCTCAGGTAAAGAAAGGCAAAGCAATATCTCTAAAAGACCATAACAAAGCTCTGAAACCTGCCATTGCTGAATACATTGTAAAGAAGGCTAAACAGAGGATAGCTCTGCAGAGATGGCAAGATGAACTCAACAGAAGAAAGAATCATAAAGGAATGATTTTTGTTGAAAATACTGTTGACTTAGAGGGCCCACCTTCAGACTTCTACTATATTAATGAATACAAACCAGCTCCTGGAATCAGCTTAGTCAATGAAGCTACCTTTGGTTGTTCATGTACAGATTGCTTCTTTGAGAAATGTTGTCCTGCTGAAGCTGGAGTTCTTTTGGCTTATAATAAAAACCAGCAAATTAAAATCCCACCTGGTACCCCCATTTATGAATGCAACTCGAGGTGTCAATGTGGACCTGATTGTCCCAATAGGATTGTACAAAAAGGCACCCAGTATTCACTTTGCATCTTTCGAACTAGTAATGGCTGTGGCTGGGGTGTAAAAACCCTTGTGAAGATTAAAAGAATGAGTTTTGTCATGGAATATGTTGGAGAGGTATGTTAAACTTAAATAATGGGTGTGGGAGGTTTATGCTTTTTTTTTTTTACCTTAGTAACAAATATTGGTACAATTTTATATTACTATTTGCAAGTGTGTAAAAATTTCGGGTTTGAGAGAAGGGTTCACTGGCATAATTAGAAATACAGACTTGTATATGAACAAAAATAGATATGATGACAAACAGTCCTCTTTCAAAAGCACCCATTCCAAAAAAAAAAAAAAAAACAAAAAACCCACACACAGTCATTGAAATTGTAAAATATGGCAACTATTTTACACAAAATTCCTAAGAAAAAAAATCAGATCTACACACATGCTAACTTTAAAAACGTTTAGATTATAATCCATCCATTTGACTAAATATGGTTAAGTGTAGTTGGCCAAATCCAGTATTGTATCAACATGAGATACTGTAGACAAATGTTTTCCGAACAAATGTAAAATATACCTAAGAGCATTTATTGCATCCACAAGAAAATCCAAATTCTTTGTAACTCAGAGACTATTCTCTACATTACCAAAGACTGAGCTAATTTATTTTTATACATATAATTTGAATATATGAAAAAGTAGTATTTAGCATGTACCACATACTATTCTAAGTACCTTTTGTTTTAACTCTTTAATCGTCTCTATAACTCTGGGGTAGTAGTATTATCTCCATTACTATAGATGAGGAAACAGGCACACAGAATTCAACTTGCACAAGGTCACATTGAAGTGAAGAGGAGCCAGGATTCAAAACCAAGGCTCCAAAATGAGTGCACTTTTCCCCTATGCTACACTTCCTCAAACTGAGTGAAGGATTACACTGACTGGAAAATAAAAGTGTGACTATGTATCTCAGGTTGTCACATCTGACATTTTAAAGTTATGTAGAATTAGGTCACATATAATTATTTGTATTCATCTAGAATTCTGAGATTGGAAGTATTTCAAGCCTTCAGTATTTAGACAAGGGCAGATTATTGTAAATCTCTATTAGGGATACTAGATCTTCTATAATCAGATTTGTAAATCTGGTTGACACCGACAATCACTTTAGATGTTTTTGGTTTAACTCAGGCATCTGGAAAAGCTATGTTCTTTTTTTTTTTTTATTTTTTATTTTTTTATTTTATGATAGTCACACAGAGAGAGAGAGGCAGAGACATAGGCAGAGGGAGAAGCAGGCCCCATGCACCGGGAGCCCGACGTGGGATTCGATCCGGGGTCTCCAGGATCGCGCCCTGGGCCAAAGGCAGGCGCCAAACCGCTGCGCCACCCAGGGATCCCAAAAAGCTATGTTCTTAGAACAGAACTGTACACGAGAGTTTTGAGCTACAGAATTACATGAAAAGAGCCTACTTTACAAAACTAAACTTCCCATACAGTTGGCTGCAAATTCTGTATTTGTGACAAATTTCCATTTATAACTGCACAGATTAATTACAAGAAAAATAAGGTTTTTAAGACTATCTTTACTTGTAAATTTATCCCTTTATATTCCATTATATCCTACAGAAAGCTATACTTGGGTAGCTTTTTGAACATCTGAATAAATAAGAATGAAAGTAATACTGTCTTAATTTGTTAATTGTGGGTTGTCCCAATGCCTGTCTAAACAGCCTTGATTCTTTTGCAGTCATTTCTGCCCTTAGTTTCCCACATCTTTCCATTCAGCTCTTGTAGTTTGTGTAAATATTTGTTTTATTTTTTTAACATTTTTTTATTTATTCATTTGAGAGCAAGAGAGAGAGCGCACAAGCAGGAGGAGAGGCAGAGGGAGAAGCAGACTCCCAACTGAGCTGGGAGCCCAACATGGGGCTCTGTCCCAGGATCTAGAGATCATGACTTGAGCCAAACGCGGATGCCCAACCATCTGAACCACCCAGGCACCCCTGAATATTTGTTTTAAAGACACCTCAATTTCTTACTTTCTAAACCTTTGTTGTTAAGGCATTTATAAATTATTAATAGATTTATGGGTGAGTGTTCAATTCAACAATAGCTATATAATATACTATAGTTTCTTCTTTTTAGGTAATCACAAGTGAAGAAGCTGAAAGACGGGGACAGTTATATGACAACAAGGGAATCACATATCTCTTTGATCTGGATTATGAATCTGATGAATTCACAGTGGATGCAGCCCGATATGGAAATGTCTCTCATTTTGTTAATCACAGTGTAAGTAATACTTAAAGAATAGACAGGACTAATCAACTTAGTACTGTTTTTAACGATTTGTCCATAGTTGAGGAGTATTTAAGTTACTTACCCTTTTAATATTTCCAAAGCATTTTTTTAATTATTTATTTATTTATTTATGATAGTCACAGAGAGAGAGAGAGAGGCAGAGACACAGGCAGAGGGAGAAGCAGGCTCCATGCACCGGGAGCCCGATGTGGGATTCGATCCTGGATCTCCAGGATCGCGCCCTGGGCCAAAGGCATGCGCTAAACCGCTGCGCCACCCAGGGATCCCCTCCAAAGCATTTTTTTAAAGATTTTGTTTATTCATGAGAGATGGGGGGCGGGGGCAGTGACACAGACAGAGGGAAAAGCAGGCTCCATGCAGGGAGCCCGATGTGGGATTCGATCCTGGAACTCTGGGATCATGCCTTGAGCGGAAGGCAAGATGCTCAACCGCTGAGCACCCAGGCATCCCTCCAAAGCATTTTAATACAAAGAACTCTTCAGTTAGGTTGTGGTATTATTGCTGTATTTGGAAAATTCATTGAGGTGATACCAAATACCAGGCATTTTGCAAGAGATTTTATGTATTTCATCTAATCTTTTCAAAACTTTGTAAGGTTTTATCTTCATATAGAGAAAGAAGTGAGTGGAGGAATTAAGAGGTGGAAAGGTGAAGAATCACATACAACTGTAGAAGTTTCTTACAGAAATTAACAGCTGAATTTTAGGATTGCAACTAAAGATAGCTGTATTTTCTTAAAATGTAAACATGTTAAGCTGTTTATAAAATTTAAGAATTTGTAGAATAAGTTTTTAGGGCCATTTTTCTAAATTACAAGTTAGTATTTTTAATTCATGTTTGAAAAGATCTTAGACTACAGCTAGAACCTTAACTGTAGAATTTTAAATTCTATAAACTATTTCTAAAAATAAGAGGGTGCCTACTAAGTGCCAGCAGATAAATGTAAGTTATGTAGCTGCCATATAAGGAAGGTAGACCATGCTAAACTTTTGATGGATTTTTATACCAAGAAACTAGTTTGTTTAGTAGTGAAATGTCAGACCTTCTGATTCCTTCATTGTTAGTTTTATTTACTTATTTTGCTTTAATTTTTTTTCTTAATGGTAAATTTGAGATACTCTGGAAATAGTCTATTCAAGGACAAGTAAACACTTCTTTTGATTTCTTAGTATGATTCACTTGATTCACTAGATGTTTCTTCCTGCATTGTCCAGAACTTAATGTAGAATTCTTAAAATATTAGTTCCAAACAGAAGTTAAAGCAATGAAACCCCATACAGTATGGAATCTGAGTTGTATAGTGCTGACTTATTCTATTTCTTTATGCCTTACTGAACTACATACAGGTTAAATGATAATGTTATCATGACAGAAAAGTTAAAAGGTTGAGACTAAATGAAACAGGATTGGTAAAAATGTTAGTAATTGTAGCTGCAGGGTGAATATATGTGGATTTATCATTTTTGCTAGTGTTGTGTTTAAGATTTTCTGTAAGTAAAAACAGTATTTTTTAATTTGCATGCCTCAAAGACCTCTAAACAATAAACAATGTAATTCTTAATAGAACTTTAAAAAATACAAGTCTGGGAAATTAAGTATTTTATATGGCATGTAGAAGAGAAGGTTCATGTCTTTTTTACTTAAATGGGTTCTAATGTTCCTTTTTAGTGTGACCCAAATCTTCAGGTGTTCAATGTTTTCATTGACAACCTTGATACCCGTCTTCCCCGAATAGCATTATTTTCCACAAGAACTATAAATGCTGGAGAAGAGCTCACTTTTGATTATCAAATGAAAGGTATGGTTTTCAAGTAGTTTGATTGGTGTTCAGTTGTTTCGGTACAAAGAATCTAATCAAAGAAAAAACCTGAACCAAAAGATCTGAACCAAGCAGATATTAAAAAGGAGAAAAAAATGAGGCTAAATTTGTCATTTTACTCAAGGTCATAAGCTAATCTGACAGAGGTAAAACTAGAATCCAGGTCTGCATGACCTTGAGCTGAGTAATGTTCTTTTCTCTATACCACATTGCCACCTGCTTTTTTCATAATTCCCATTATGAAAGCTTATTATATATCTTTTCTCAGTATTACTTGTATTTTAAAATTGTAAGGCATACATTCCTGAATATTTACCAAGAGATGTATATTCAAAAGGCTGAAAATCTGATTTAAATCATACATTAACTTAGTCCAATCCTACTCGGATTTGGCTTTTTTTTTTTTTTAATGGTACTTTTATTTGCTTCATTGTGACTTTTTTTCTGTTTTTTCTAAGTGTTAAGTACAGCTTGTTACTATTTAGCCTACCTTTATGGCCTTTAATAGAGTGTGAAATTGAGTGATTATGTATTGGATTTTTCCTAGTAAGTTCCATCATTTCCAAGCTAGTCTTATTAATATGGGCTAATAGCATATGTGTTTATCTCTTACTAGCTCACACCATTCTTTCAAAAGATAATTCATAATGATTTGTCTCTGAATATTCACATTTACTTAAAACTGATAGAAAATTTGAACTTCCTTCTGAATTGTCTTAACTCTTTCTTCTGTATTTCTTTTTCTATGTGATCAGGTTCTGGAGATATATCTTCAGATTCTGTTGACCACAGCCCAGCCAAAAAGAGGGTCAGAACTGTGTGCAAGTGTGGAGCTGTGACTTGCAGAGGTTACCTCAACTGAATTTTCAGGAAATAGAGCTGACAATTGTAGTTTTTTTTGTTTTTTTCTAATGTTAACATTTCAAAAAAGTATTTGGGACTCTTTTCAGATTGTCAAGATTATATGCTATGTTAATTACAGTTCATGTTTCAAATTATTGGCCAAATGTATTACTGATGCTTCTGAAGAGAAGAACACAGGGTCACATAGACCAATTTGAGATATACATATTTAGTGATGAGATACTAAACATGAAGGGAAAACTATTTATAGATGAGCATATGCATACATAAAAAGACTGTGAGTAGAGAAAAATGCCTCCTTCAGTGTTTAAGCAAACTAGTAGCGTAAGTCACTAAGATCAAATATTCAACCTGCCATACACCTTGAATTTAGAGAGTTAATTCAATTTGGGCAAATATATACAAGTGCTATTTCTGTTATGTTGTCATTCCCATTATTACTCACTGTACTTGTATTTGAGACAAACAGGTGATACTGAATTATTCTATTTTCCTACTTTCATCAAAATACTGGATTTTAATGATAAATTTAAGGTCTAAATTAAATATAAAAGTTTAAATACAGTTTGATTTCATATTTTGAAAAAATCCAGACTGTTATGAGGCATGTATATCTGAACCAGTAATTCTTAAAGATTTTTAATCTCTTAAAGGGATAATTTCCAAAAAAAAGCTCTAAAATTCTAGAATGGCTGCCCATTATGCTGCTTTGAAGGATGGGGGCAGTGGGACCAGGAGAGTTTTGGGGAGTGCCAGGCAGAGGAAATGGAGCACTTTAAGGGCCCCTCTTAGTAACGTAAATTAAGAGATCCACGTTGAGTACTTCTGGTCTAAACATAAATAATAAAACAAGATAGCCCTGACTGCAGTTGTACCTAACAATAATGTTTCATATGATACATCTTCTGAATTTCAGGCAGTTTTAACATTTCCACCAAACTTAATTATTTTTATATTCTCTGCAGTCTCTTAAAATCTATATTTTGAACTGATACTTATTTTTTATACATGAATTTTTAAAATATGATAAAGCTAAAACTTGGGTTGGCCAAAGTGTGTACCTGAGTTATGAGAACTTTTTTTACTTGAACCATGAAGACTGAAATGGAATATATTCCTTGTTTGGTTTTTGTTTTGTTTTCCTGCATAGTAAAACATCAATCAGGAAAAAATGTGTTTTCATTTCTGTGATTGTGGGATTTGTAATCATGGTGTCCAGCATGAAGGTAAACGCAGCAAGTAAATCTGGCTTTCAGTATTTCTAATTAAACTATACCTAAGCTCATTGCCCTGTTGCTTTAATGACCCTAAAATAAGTGGGTAAAATTCAATGGACCTCAAATGCAGCACTTCCAATATCTTCTAAATTCTTAACCTCTTTTTTGGGAGAAGCTGTGTTTGTTTATGCATTATATTTTTATAGCTACCACATGATTTTGCTCTTTTATAATATACGGTAAATTTTTAACATGTTTGGAGCCTCAGTGTATTAACCAAAATCTGCAGAAGGTGTCAAGGAAAAATACATTTTTTTAGTGCCATTTCTTAGTTTTTTTTTCTTTTTTATGAGAAATTAGTCACATGGTGTCGGTGGTGAGAACATCACAGATTTATAATGCTCCAATGGCCACGCTTACTTTGAATCATAATTCTTCAACAGGTTTAAAGATATAATTTTAATATTCTTCTTAAAAAGTCAGTTGTACTATCCAGTTAATCTTGTCTACTTTTTGTGGTTAAAAAAAATGTAAAACAGGAGGGCAAAGGGAAAATGGCTATTTTCAGTAAATTTGTTTCATTTTGTCTTTATTACTAGAAATTTAATGGATCTTTGAGATTTTAATGACCTGTTACCCTTACTTTATTAAAAAGTTGGACTTAGTAAACTAGAAACCCTCTACATGAAACTGTTGGAAGCTTTTAACTATTTTGTCAACATTTAGCTTCTTTCGTTTCTTAAGTTGTCAGAATTTGTTCCTTCAGTATAAGTATAGCCAAAATTCAAGGGTAATATTTAGATCAAGTTTAAACTGTAAATTAATCCAGTCTGAGTTTTACTAATACCGTTGTTTTCAGTATCTATATAAGGATCGCGATACACAATTGGCAACCTCAGGGTCTTTTCCCTCTATGTGCAAAATCTAGACTGCACTTATTTTTCTTACAGTTCACTTTTCTTTAGCCAAATAAATTTAGTTTGGCATTTGATTTTCTATTTATTGTAGGTTAGCTTTTGTTTCTGAATATTTTACTGTCTTTTCCAGTAAGGCTACAAAAGGGCCAAAAACACCAGTGTATTCCTGCCTACTTCTTTTGAAATTAACCAGAGGTTTTTATACTATTCCCTTAAATGTTATTTGCCTTTTAAGAAGTTTATCAGTCATGGTTGATCCATTTAAATATTAGAGTAGAATTTTACATAGCATAAAATGGATATGGATAGATACTTGTAAAATTTTTTGAGCATTATTAGTCACCAGGAAATTTAACATAAAGCTTCCATTCTTTGAGCAAGTCTTAGGCTCTTTATATCCTAAGACTTGCTCAAAGAATGGAAGCTTTATGTTAAATAAAGCTTTATATGTGCTCTTTATATGTGCTCTTGTGCTTCTCCTAAGCCTGTGAGTCTGGTGCTCTTGGCCCTATAGCACAGCAAAGGAAAGGGTCTAGACTGGGTAGATAAGATTAACACACCCATAGATCACCCAGCTTGGGGCCAGTAACACCTGACTATAATGCACTCAATTTTATACTTTTAGTTTCAACAAACATGTAACTCTTGGATTCCTAAGGCAAATGTGGCTAGCATCTGGGCTGTGTCTGTGCTGTATCTTGGCATTTTGAAACTTTTTTTCACTTTTTCTTTTATACTTTACAGTTCTTAAAGTAAAAATCAAGTAGTCACTATAATTAATCCTGCTTCCTCCTGTGCTCTTTTTGAGAGGCATTATTACATGCTGGCTAAGAGCATGGACTCTGGAGCTTGAGTTGCCAGCATTTTCATTCCTGGCTTCATCCCCTGCCGGCTGTGTGAACTAACCTCTCTGTGCCTTAGCCTCATTTGTGAATGGGGAGAATAATTTCTCTACCTCAAAGGGTGGTGGTGAGAATTAATGGAGTTGATATCCAGTGTGTAAAAGAATGAATCATCATCATAGAGTAAGCACCATATGTAAGTATTTACTACAGTTCTTCTGTACTGTAATCTTCAGTGATGGCTACAAGTTTTTTTTTTCCCTAAGTTTGTTCTAGTGCTCCTAGCCCTTATATTCATTCAGCTGGCATTTATTATGCCAGATTCACCTATAGAACAATGAGAACACGGCAGTATGTAATATTAAATGGATAGTGTGATTATAAAGTGCTAAAAAATTCAGAATGTTTACAGGCATGTTTTGGGTTATAAGCTAGGCTGTTAAAGGTGAGGTCTTCAGTGTCAGTGAATATATAGTTACATTTGATTACCTGATTTTTTTTTAAGATTTTATTTATTTATTCATTCATAGAGATGCAGAGAGAGAGTAGCAGAGACACAGGCAGAGGGAGAAGCAGGCTCCATGCAGAGAGCCTGACGTGGGACTCGATCCAGGATCTCCAGGATCACGCCCTGGGCTGCAGGCGGCGCCAAACCGCTGCGCCACCGGGGCTGCCCTGATTACATGATTTGTAATAATTAAGTGTAACTAATTTTTAGAGCTGAAAATAAAAAGTAAAGTCTCTAGGTTTTATTAGGCCTGTTGTAGTTATGACTTGATACTCAACCAATGATCTGCAATCTCTGCTGGTTTCCTTAATAATTTTATATTCACTTTGCATTTAGTAATAGTACTCATGGGAGAGAGGGGTAAAATGGGGTGAATGTATTTCTACCCGAGTCATATGGAGTCTGTGGAATATATTTCATCAAAAACTGGGGAGTAGCTGCTGAGGTAGGAAAAAGGGGTCAGTGATACGCATGATAATGCATATCATTCCATTTAATCTGCAGATTGTTTTAGATTCTCTACTTAAACTCATTGTAAGTGTAATCTTTTTGCTTCCGTAATGTATAAAATGCCAGCATACCCCAAAGTGTTGATGACATACCCCACTGATGGACTTGAAGGAAAACAACTCAGAACACATTAATGCTTTTGCCATTTAATTATTTTCTTTTAGGTTCTAATTTTTCTGCTTTAAATTTTGTCATTGTATTCATACCAGCATTTGTAAGTGATACAGCTTTTGAGATAAATAAGGGGCTGATTTTTGAAGCATTTTATGACCTGCAGGATACGGTTGTCTATCGTGGTCAGTGTGCCATGGGCACTTATGTTGTTGGGTGGAGTGTTCTACGTCAGTTAGATCCAGTTGGTCAGTGGTGCTATTCATTCTGTATCTTTGCTCACTTCCTGTATGCTGATTCTGTTACTGACAGAGGAATGGGCAAGTCCCTAGCTAGAATTGTGCATTAGTTTGTCTTTCTCCTTGGTTTTAGCTCTTTGTATTTGGAAGCTGTTTTTAGGTACATACACATACAGCGTTGTGTCTAGATCTTTTATCATTAGAAATTTGCCTGATGCTAATATGGTCATTCCGGCTTTAAGTAGTATTTAGGGATCTTTTTCCATTCTTTACTGTTAACCTACCTGCATCATTCACTATATATAGGAGGACTGTTTTTCCCCTATGTTTTCATGGTGCGTTTTGGCCATTTTCACTTAATGTAATTATTGAGGTCTGGATTTAGTTCTACCGTATCTGTCCCAGTTTTTGTTCTCTGCTTCCCCTTTACTGCCCTGTTTTAGGTTACAGGAGCGTTTTTACTCCACTCTGATATGTCTGGTATGATTTGAACTATTACCTCTTTAGTGTAGGTTTTTTTAGTGGTTGCTCGAGAATGCAAGCTTTAAAATTTTTAAGTATCTAAGAATGAGCTTTTTCTCTTTTCAAGGACTATATTCTCACCTGTTGCCAGCTTCTCATACAAATATTGCAAATGCTCTCCTTTAGGTAGCTCAGCCTCTGGTGTTGAGGGAATTTCGAAATCTGAGGAGCTCGGGGAATCTGCATTGGTGCTAAGATTTAGCATCCTTTTCTCCTGAGGTATGTGTTTCCCACTGCTTAGGGCAGTCGGTTCTCCAACACTGGGAACTACCTTTACATTTTGATCTCTGTGTTTCAAGTCAGAGGAAGTATTCCTTGGACAAAGTACATTTTGTTCCATCTGAGAAGCAGGGATATTCTCCTTGATTTTTGGTCTGTAGCTACTTTTGTTTAAGGAGGTAATATCCCCACTGTTTCTCTCTTGGGATGATAACAAAACAGTATCAGATTGGCTGTCCCAGCCTTGACTCCCCTGTTCAGATATGTGTGTTGACTGAGAAGAATTCTGGGAAGAAATATGAGTTGATTCCCCATCAGAGTCACTTAAAAGCTTCGGTGACTGAGAACCCCCTGCCTCTGTAGAAGAAGGGAGGTTTTCCAAACTGTCATCTGTGATTTCATCATTTCTTTTAAAGAATATTTCCCACTGTGGTACTTCTACATCAGCCTTTTGCTGCTGCTGTGTGACAGCACCCAAGTCTTCTTGAGATGAAGCTGGGGTTTGTAATTCTTCTTCACTTTCACTATTAGATTCTTCACAATCTACAAAGTTTGCCCAAGGAATGGTTTGCATGCTCTCTGCTTTGAGGTACCCAGTGCTTTGTCTCCATTGTTCAGGCTGGTTTTGTGATGTTGCAGTCATTACAAATACCTCAGGGTGGAGAGTTAGCTGGTATGGAGCCTTGTGCCTTAACGGTAATGGCACAGGATCATCAAAGAGGTCATCTTCCTCCTCTGTGGGAAAACACAAGAGATATATGGGAAGCACAGAACGCAAAGAGGCTAATTGGTGCTTTTAACTTAAAATCCAATTTGTAGCATTTAACTATGATTTCAGTTGGTGGAACTGCAAGTAATAGTTCACTTTTCTTCTAAGAAAAAGGCCCCTTAATAGTGAAAGGGAATAGAAGGGAAGGGAAAAGAAATGGGTAGGAAATATCAGAAAGGGAGACAGAACAAAAAGACTCCTAACTCTGGGAAACAAACTAGGGGTGGTGGAAGGGGAGGAGGGCGGGGGGTGGGGGTGAATGGGTGACGGGCACTGAGGGGGGCACTTGACGGGTGTTATTCTGTATGTTGGCAAATTGAACACCAATAAAAAAATAAATTTATTTTTTAAAAAAAAGGCCCCTTAGATATTTTGAACAATTTAACCCATCAACTAATGCTGGACTTTGAGTTGAGAATACAGATCTGTGTTCTCCAAATAGGCCACAGTCAGTGAGTGGTTCTTAAACCTGGCTGTTCATTAGCCTTTTCTGGAAAGCTTTTTACTCCCCCCCCCCCCCCATTTATTCACTCATTTAAGTAATCTCTACACCCAACATGGGGCTCAGACTCGTGACCCTGAGATCAAGAGTTGCATATTCTTCTGACTGAGCCAGCCAGGCACCCCTGGAAACCCTTTTTAAAAAACAGCTTTCTGTATCTCATTCCAGACTACTGAATTGCTGAAGGTAGGACCCAATAATTTGATTTATAGTTTAGTAGTGACTTGTTCAACAGCCAGGTTTGCAAACTGTACGTGCCTGGCAAATAGTGGATACTCAGTGAATTGGCTAAATAAAACACTTTTCTATCATTTCTTTGAACATTTTGATACCTACTTTGCAGATGTTATGGGCCAAAATGTCTGTGTCCTCAAAAGTTCCTAAATTTGAAGCCCTAGTGTCATGGTATTTGGATGTGGGACCCCTAGGATGGGATTAGCGTCTTTGTAGGAAGACTCACTTTCCTTCTTTATGCACGGACAGTGTAGAAAGGCAGGTGAGCACGTGCCGAGGAGGAGGTTGTCTACAACCAGGAAATGGACCCTCTTCATGAACCAAATCTGTTGGTACCTGGACCTTGGACAGCCCAGCCTCCAGAACTGTGAGAAATAAATGTCTATTGCTGAGTCACCCAGTCTCTAGTATTTGTGATTGCAACCTGAGCCTGCTAAGTGCACAAGGCTGTGATAGATACTGGGGGGGGAACAAATGTGCCAGATGGGGCTTACTTTGAATAAGCCACATTTAGTGGCCCAAAATGAAAACCACGAATTTACTGATTTTCTTTTTTCTTTTGTGTGTATGATTTTTCTTTTTTTGTTGTTTTTGGTATTTTTGTGTGTGTGATCTTTTTAAAGCATGTTGCACTAGCAATATAATGAGCCAGTCCCCTTAAATTCTTAAAAGGAGGAAACCCTACTTGGAGAATGAAATTATCATTAAATTGAGTAGGCATGTAATTGGAGGGAAAACATTCTTTCCTGCCCTCTAATGAAACATTACATAAGAGGAAAATTAAATGCTCGTGAGACTGCTGTCATGGCAACTTAAAAAGGTAACATGGATGTAGCTAAACACTTACATATATAAAAGCTGCTTTAAAAAAAAAAAGGGCCAGAGGTCATCATCCTCGCATTTTACCAATGAGGAGACCAGTCCAGAGAAGTGGTGTGACGAGACTCTAGGTCAAAACCAGATCAGTTTGATTCCTCGCTCTGCCTAATTCTTAAGGACTTAAGGTGACTAAGATGTCTAGCGACTATATTTGGAATCCTCCTCATCTCCAAGATATGGCTTTTTTTTCAAAACACGGAGTATAAATTTGTTTTTGCCACAGTTACATTTTACGAAATATTTCTGTTGTTTGTATTTAAGGTTAAGCAGTTTCATATTCTTCTAGATTAGTGACTATACTAGTATCAGAGTATGTTTCAACTGTAAAACCTATCAAAACATTTTTCATATTAATTCATCTGTAGCTAAGAAAGTTTCTTTACTAAACCAAGATTATTCTAAATCCTGTTATGACAATATAAGAATTTTTAATTTCTCCATGAAAATGGAAAGGCATATAACACTAAGAAAATAAGTTTTAAAATCCTTAATAGCATTTATCCAGGCTGATAAGCACATCTAAACCCAACTTTAAAAAGGACAAACATTATAATTCATAGATACTTTGTAACTTGGTATAACCATACTGGACAAAATAATTTCTACAATTTAACCCAATAATGAGAAGTGTGAAACAGACTTAGGTACAGTGTTGTTCATCACAAAATTATTTGTAAAAGTGAAGTTTAATTTCCCCACAGAAAGGTTAACTGCTTTTCAGCCTCTACAGCTAAAGTCCCCAAGTGTTTTTCCTTCCTTTTCACTGCCCTGGTCCCTGCTTATGTCCTGCTGTCCACCTCTCCACAGTCCCAACAAGCCTCACACAACTACAGAACCTTAGGACCCTGTTCTGTTCTTACTGGTGCCTAGACAGTAAACATTTTTAATGTCCTGTGAGTTCTAGATATTTACATAAATGGGGAGAAGGAAATACATTAAAATGCTATTCAAAATAGAGTGGTGGAATTCTATGTTCTCAATAAGCTATAATAATAACAAAAAATCAGAGTACAAAGAGCTTTACTGACTGAGAGAAGAATGCTCAACTTGCCCTTCAAATGCTGACACACAAAAAAATCAGTTGCTCTAAGATTTGTTAAACACTGCATGGTTAACATTTGTTAAACATTGACTTGCATCAACAGAACATTTAACAGACTAAAGAAACTAAAAACTACCCCAAAATTACCATAGACCTTGCAGCACACACACACACACGACAGAACTATAAGGTCAATGATATGAATTAAAGCAAACATCCCTATGGCTTACAAAATACATCTAAAAACATCAGACTGACACCAGAGATTGCTAAAGATCTATACCTATACAAATAAAAGCTATAAAAATCACTATAATAATAAAAACACTAGGGAGTCAACAAGGAACAAAATCAAAGCTAACCAAAAAGAAAAAGCAAAAATGAGGGAAAAAGAAACACCAATTTGAAAACTTAGAACTAGTGGCCCACAAACCAAAAAAACCAGAGTCCTCTGGGTAGATACAGATATATATAAAATATAGATACAAAATATGTAGATATAAAATATATATAGATATAAAAAATAGATATATATATAAAAGGACAAAATGTTAAAAGATTTCTGACCAGTGCACACTCGTGTGTGAGGTAACTACCTGAGGCCAGGGAACACTCCAAAAAACTAAAAGTGACCAGAATGCACACAGTGCTAGGAACAGTGCCTGTTCCCAACAGCCAGTGTGGAACCCCTTATAATTCACAGGGCATCTGTAGGGGTACTAAAAGGGGCCTTGTGTTAGTAGTGGAGAGAGTGAGTTCTAGACACAAAAGAATCACACTATCCGAGCCATTTAACCATATGCCTGAACAAAATGCATGAATACTCTTAGAAATCCAAAATTATTGCAGAACCTAACACAGTAAACTTCAGGTAAACTGAAATGATAAAAAAAAAAAAAAAAAACATGGGAGAACATCTTCATGATCTTGGATTAAGCCATAATTGATTAGGACCCCAAAAGCACAAGCAGTAAAACAATAATCAGATAAATTTGACTTAATTTAAATTTTAAACTTCAAAAGACACCATCAGTAAGGTAAAAAGACAAGCTGTATAGACTGGAAGAAAATATTTGCAAATCCTAATTATGGACACTGGGTAGAAGTCCTTTAAAAATTCTTACAGGGGCTCCTGGGTGGCTCAGTTGGTGAAGCTGCTGCTTTTGGCTCAGGTCATGATCCCAGGTTTCTGGGATGGAGTCCCGACTGGGGCTCCCTGTTCAGTGGTGAGTTTGCTCCTCCCTCTGCCCTTCCTCCCTGCTCATCTGCACACTCTCAAATAGATAAAATTTTATATATATATATATATATATATTTTAAACCCCTCTTATAATGCAAGAATATAATCCAATTTTATTTTTTTTAATTTTTATTTATTTATGATAGAGACAGAGACACAGGCAGAGGGAGAAGCAGGCTCCATGCACCGGAAGCCCGATGTGGGATTCGATCCCGGGTCTCCAGGATCGCGCCCTGGGCCAAAGGCAGGTGCCAAACCGCTGTGCCACCCAGGGATCCCATAATCCAATTTTAAAATGGGCAAGAGAGGATCCCTGGGTGGCTCAGCGGTTTAGCGCCTGCCTTCGGCCCAGGGCGTGGTCCTGGAGTCCCGGGATTGAGTCCCACGTCGGGCTCCCTGCATGGAGCCTGCTTCTCCCTCTGCCTGTGTCTCTGCCTCTCTCTCTCTCTCTCTCTCATGAATAAATAAAATATTTAAAAAATAAAATGGGCAAGAGATTGAAGTAGACATTTCAGCAAAGAACATAAATACTTAAGCTCAAATAGTGAAATGCAAATCAAAACTATAATGAGACACCTCTTTATACCCACTAGAAGAGCTATAATCAAAAAGATAAAGTGTGAGCTGCAATGTGGGGAAATTGGAATCCTTAGCTAGTGGGAATAAAATTGTGTTCAGTTTGAAAGATAGCTTCTCAGTTTGTTAAAATGTTAAAACATAGGTTTACTGTGTGTATATTATGCAATAAATGTACCTCCCCCTAAATTGACATGTTGAAGCCATCTAACCCCCAGTGTGGCTGTATTTGGAAACGGAGCCTCAAAGGAAATAATTTAAGTTAGGACGGCACCCTGATGAAATAGGATTGGTGTCCTTAGACATCAGAGAGCCCCAGCACATGCCCCGGGAAGGGGCCTTTCAGCACCACAATATGAGAGCTGCCTACAAGCCAAGAGAAGAAGCCTCAGAATGAAACGGCCAGCACCTTGTGGACTTCCAGCCTCCTGAGTTATGAGACCTGTTATTAAGCCACCCAGTCTGGTATTTTGTTATGGCAGCTCAGGCTAAGATCGCATCACCACCCCCACCATCATCTAGAAATGCTACTCCTATGTTACTTATCCCAAATAAATAAATCCTGTGTCCACACAAAGACCTGTATGCAAATATGCAAAGCAGCATAACCAATAACTAAAAGGTAGAAACAAAAAAATAATAAAAGGTAGAAAAAAAATAATAAAAGAAACAACTCAAATGTCCCTCAACTAGTGAATGGATAAATAAAATGTGGCACTAAAAAAGAGTAAGTATGCTTAGGAAGCCAGGCACACAAGACCAAATGTTGTACAGTTCCACTTACATGAAATGTCCAGAAGAGACAAACCTGTAGATTTAGTGGTTACCTAAAACTGGAGGTGCTAGTGGGGAGGGACTTGAAATGGGCATAGTTTGGAGGAACAGAAATGTTCTAAAATTAGTGGCAAATGTCTGCATGTCTGGTAGTGTGTGCCTAAAAAGGGTGAAATTTATGGTATCTAAATTACACTGCAATAAAGCTTTAAGAACCTGACAGCATAAAGCAAATATTGTGGGGTTTATAACAAGTAAAACATATGAGTAAAATTGCAGACTGTGAGGGGGGAAATAACTGCCATTAAGTTTCTTATACCATACTATGCTATTACTACAATAATACGTATCTTTTCACTCTGCTAGGTTAAAGATGTATACTTAAGCCACTAAAATAAAAAGTTACAGGGCAGCCCAGGTGGTCGCCCCTTCAGCCCAGGGCCTGTTCCTGGAGACCCTGGATCGAGTCCCACGTCAGGTTCCCTGCATGGAGACTGCTTCTCTCTCTGTCTCCCATAAATAAATGAATAAAATCTTTAAAAAATAATAAAAAGTTACAGCCAATAAACCAAATAGAGATTAAATGTAATCTCTCAATTCTTCCCAGATTGATCAACAAATTTACTAACAAATCCCAATCAGACTCCCTCCCATGGACATTTGTACAAATGGCAAGATGATTCTAAAATTCAGATGGAAATGCAAAAGACCTGGAATAGCCAAAACAACTTTGAAAAGTAACAAAAAAGTTCAAGAACTTGTATCATTTCAAAATTCATAAAGGTACAATAATCAAGACAGGGCAGTACTGATGTTAAGACAGAGATCATGGAACATAAAAAGTCCAGAAGCAGACTCCCACATATATTGTCAATTGATTTTCAACAAAAATGCAAAGACGATTCAGTAGGAAAAAGATAACTTTTCAGCAAATGGTTCCAGTGTCTAGATGTTCATATGCAGGAGAAAAAAAAAAAAAACACACAAAGACCTTGGACCTCTAGTTTGTACCATACAAACTAGAAAAAACTAGAAAAATGGATCATAGACCTAAATGTAAAACCTAAAACTATCAGAAAACAAGAGGAAATTTGTGACCTTCAGTCAGGCAGAATTCTTAGCTATGCTACAAATAAACACTAATAAATTGAGCATCAAAATTTAAAATTTCTGCTCTTCAAGAGACTGCAAAGATGAGCCACAAACCAGGAGGAAGGTTTTGCAAAGCATGTAACTGATAAATTTATATCCAGAAACACTCAAAACAATAATAAAGTGAAAAAGTAATTTTTAAAATGGGTAAAGAGGGGCAGCCCAGGTGGCTCAGCGGTTGGTTTAGCGCCTGCTCAGTCCAGGGCCTGATCCTGGAGACCCGGGATCGAGTCCCACGTTGGGCTCCCTGCATGGAGCCTGCTTCTCCCTCTGCCTGTGTCTCTGCCTCTCTCTGTGTGTGTGTGTGTCTCTCATGAATAAATGGATAAAATCTTTAAAAGAAAAAAATTAATTATAAAAAAATAAAATGGGTAAAGATTTAACAGACACTTCCCCAATGAAAATACATGGATAGCCTATAACCAAAGATGCTCAACCTCACTAGACCTTAGAAAAATGCAAAATAAAACCATGAGATACCATTTCATACACATTAGGATACCTAAAAGTACAAAGTCTACCCAGACCAAATAATGACAACAAAGTAGAGCAAGAGAACTGGCGAGAATACAAAGTTGTCCAAGCACTCTAAAACAATATGGCAGTTTTTTAAGGACACAGATACCATATGACCCACTCCTAGTATGAAAGCATACATTCATACAAAGATGTGTATATGAATGTTTACAGCTCTATTTGTACTAACCAAAAACTGGGAACCCAAATGTACAACAGGTGAATGGATCAGTAAATTGTGGTACATCCATGCAATAAATACTATTCATCAATAAAAAGGAATGAACTTTGATACATGCAACAGTAAGTTTCAAAATATGCTGAGTGAAACAAGCCAGACATATACTTGTATGAGATTACTTTAGAAAATGGTAACTAATCTACAGTGATAGCAGATCAGTGTCTGCCTTGGCATGGATGAGGACAGCAGGGAGCAAGAAGGGTAGTTGGGAGGAATTACAAAGTGGCACAGGGGGACTTGGAGGTAATGGATATTTTCATTATCTTAATTAGGGTGATAGCTTCTCCAGTACGTGAATATGTAAACATGCATCAACTGGACACTAGGGACACCTAGCTGGCTCAGCAGGCAGCTGCCTTCGGCTTAGGTCGTGATCCCAGGATCCGGGACCAAGTCCCACATCGGGCTCCCTGCAGCAGGGAGACTGCTGCTCCCTCTCCCTGTGTCTCTGCTTCTCTCTCTTTCTCTGTGTCTTTCATGAATAAATAAATAAAATCTTTTAAAAAAATAAAGTTTTTTTTTTTAAAAACTTACAACTAAGTTTGTATATATAAAGGATTAGAAGATGTAGTACATGATAGCGGTAACATCTGAAAATACAACTGTTTTTCTAGAATCAGTCCTGGAATTTGCATCTTAATGGTTTTCTATTTGATTTTAAATGAGAGGAAATGCAGAAATGGAGAGGAGAAGGACAGGCCTGGATTAGAATCCCAACCCCATCGCTCACTTCTGGCTGGACCTGGGGGGATTTACTTCATTCTCTAAACTTCATTTTTCTTGTTAGTGAAATTGGGATGCTACCTCTTGGAGGTTTGAGGTTTAACTGTAACGTACGTAAAGGACCTAGCACAATACCTGCCATATACAGCAAGTGTTCAAGAAATACTATCATTATTTACTCTCTTTTGGTCATGTATTAGCTACCTGGTACAGTAACTGGCTCCCCACTATAAAGCACAGAATCCTAACCACAAAATGTGGCTGCTATAAAGGAGCAGAGCTTTGTTTGGAGTCTGAAGCTCTGATTTCCTCCTCAGAGGTCACTGCTGCTCTTTGCTGAAAAACTAAAAGAGTAATGAAAAAGTGACAAAAGTTCCCATTATCAGCATTTACTAGTATCTTGAAGGAAATGGCCAAGACTAACAGCACAGCCTCTCCTTACAGGCCCTACCATTCAATAGAGGCACAGTTCTCCCAGTCGCTTGTTCTAAGCTTGTGAAGGAGATCGGACTCCTGATTCTACAGGCTGAAGAAAGGAAGGCAAAGCACTTCGAGAGCATGGTGACAGGTCTGAGTGACAGTCCGTTCCAGGCCCACCTCTGCCCAATGCAGCTTTCACCGGACCAGAGTAGCCTGGAAAACAGCCTTGCATGTGGAAACCCTGAGCCCAGGGTCATTTTCTTACCTGAGTCTAGGTGAGTTTTTCTAGCTCTCTTCAATTTTCCAAGTGGTTTATACTTTGGCTCAGTACTTTGGGAAGATCGGCATAAAGGCTTTAAGCTGAAACGAATATGATAATTATATTTTTCCTGTGGGGAAAGCTACTGGAATATAATCATCATCTACAGAGATTATAAAAACTTAGCCATGGGAAAAATCATAAATAACTACTTTTAAAAACTGAAAAGCCAGTCTAATAATTAAAAAACCACTTCACTGTAATAAAGTGGTAAACAGAATACAACCTGTTATACAGCTATCTAGTAGTAGGATGGAGGAAGGCAAAACTCCTGTATTTGCTCTTGCACTGCAGAAAAGCAGGTCCTATTCTACAAGACAGTGACACCTTCTGGCTTTCAGAGAATACATCTAGCTGGCTGCTTACTGGTCCCTGTTTAATGAGGCTTACTGATCTCTTCGAAGAATCTCACAAATCTTATCTCATTCTACAGGCTGAAAGCTAAGGCACGGTGATGATAAACTACAAAAGAGCACAGAAAAAGACTTGAGGAGGGCCTCACTGCCAAATGGTTCCTTGGGCCAGATTCCCAGCAGCCTTTAGGATTATACATAACATATCGTGTTATGTATAAAGCCATCGTGTTCCCAGCGAGAAACGTATTTATAGCCATGTCCATCTTACACCCTTGCCCCCAATTCTCAGGCCCAAAACTAGTCTCTGCATCCATCTGTTCAACAATAGAAGTTTCACAAGTAGCAACTACTCACATTTCTACAACCTTATCCAAAGTTGTGCCTATTGGAATGACATTTGGATACACATTCACAGGACAGATGTAGTTCAAGAAATCTTTAATCTAGAAGGAAAATAAAATAGGTCAATTATCTCTATGCTGAAAAATCTGGCCAGGAGAAAGAGCAGCAGGAATTTCTTGTGTGGTTCTCAATGCCAGCTGCACATGGGGGCCTCCCAGGAAAAATGAATCAACATTCAGGCCCACCCCCAAAATCCTTTTGTTACTGAGTTACAGTGGGGCCTGGAAATCTGAATATTTAAGTGTTCTTCAGGTGCTTCACTCTCTAAACACAGTAAGGACTAGGAATCACAGATTCATGGACTTCTTCCAGGATGCCTGATTTGTTCTAACAGCTTATTCTAACCTAGAGGAAAACTGAAGGCAAAAATTTCATGAATACCTTGATTCTCTGCAAAGTTCAGAATGCTATAAAAGAGGAACTCTGTCAATATTCCTCAAAACATCTCTACAACCCAGACAAGTTTCAGTTTTGTCACTTGTTAGATCTTGGTGAACATGTGATCTTGGTCAGGTTACCTGGAGTCTGCATTCGATTCTTCAGCTAAAGGTCTTAATGAGATAATGCATGTGAAGAGTTTGGCCTGGCGTATGTTTAACATTCAGTGAAATTATCCATCACACACATGATAATGACAACACACAAAGGTTTTTATTCCCTTCTGCAAGTGGGGAAACTGAGATCTGAGTAATTATTAGAACCCAACTTTATCAAATCAAAAGAAGTAGGAACCCAGGAATTATCAATAACTCCATACTAAAATAAAGTGGCTACCTTACTTAAAACGGGAGAAAAAGCAAGACGACCCATTCATTCTTCAGGTATTTTCCATAAACTCTTTTTTTTTACTTTCAGAGCAGAAACTATTACTTACCTGGCCACAACCTATATGATTTGCATAATTTGTTCTGAGGCTTTTCAAGGGAAGAGGTATAAAGAAAGTAAGGTCTACCTATACCAGAAATCATTCACTTTTACTTAGAAATGAAGTGGCCACAGGAGGCAAGAGACACCCACTAGAGAGGCACCCTCTGTCCCTTGTACAAGCTGATGTCCTTGCATCAGATGTCTGCCTTAAGACCATTCACGAAGACCGTCTATTCTTATCCTCGTTATGTTCGGTGAAGTCACCAGGCACGGTGAGTTGGCAAACACTGGACCAGGGCTCCTACCAGGAAGACCAGGCTCCTGTGAACCTCTGGCCACTGTTTCTGTCAGCCTACCAACGCATCACCTTGTTTTCTATGTGCTTGTGACACCTATTTCACATGCACTGTTGACTCATTACCACTGAACTCGCGGCCAACAGCACCATAACTCCTGCCTGAACAAAGCTTATCAAACACATGTATTTCTTCCTTGAGGGCACAGCCCAGCCTCTGTGCTTAGGAACATGCACAGCTCCCCAGCACTGCACCTGGGGGCCGTTTTGAACAGTGAAACCCCCAACAAAAAGCACAGAAATGTGTAAATGCAGCACTGACCTGCCTGCAAAAGGACACCTGTTTACCCTGGAGCTCAGTGGCGAGGGCAGAGCACCACCCTGTTCAGCCTCAGCCGGGAATATGCGTGTCTGGTGACTCCCTGGGCCTGACTGCAAACAACCTTGCAGCGCTGCAACTATTAATTTGGGGTCATAAATTTTGATGAGCAAGCAGACTTTTGTAAATAAGGAATCCATGAGTAAGGAGGATCAGCTGTAGTCAGAAAAACTGACAGGAAATGATACTTAAGCCTCCTATTTATGGGAGGCACCTGGGTGGCTCAGTTGGTTGAGAGGCTCACTTGGTTTCAGCTCAGGTCCTGGTCTCAGGGTCATGAGGTTGAGCTCTACACTCGAGATTCTCTCTGCCTCTCCCTCCCATTTGAGTATATGCTCTAAAATAATTTTTGAAAAATCTACTACTTATGTTTTTAAATATATTTCAACGTGATCTATACTTAGGATAGGCCTATTAGGAGTTTTCAGGAAAGCCTGTCTCCTCACCACCCTGAGAGATGACCAAGTGGAGCTTATGGTGACTCTCCATGTGTGCAATCAGTAGTGCTAATCCAGAGGGAATGTGGGGGATGATGGCAGGGCAGGGGGGTCATCTGTTTCATCTCTCTGCTCAAGCACCAGAAAGACCTCCTGAGGGGTAACTGCATAATATCCCAGGAGGGCTTATGCTTTCCAACCCGGCTGCTAACTACACTGAAGGAGGGAAACAGGCCAGATGTAGTCCTAAGTGAAAAAGTAAGGCCAAACCCGTTCCCTCATTAGATGCCTTCCTGGGGGCTGAGACAGAAAGAATCCCCAGCCCTAAGCGATCAAAGGAAGGGGCCCTGATCCTGAGCCAGATACCAAACCAAAGACAAATCCCCAGGAGGGGGCTTCGACAACAATCTGAGATTTCAGGATAAAATGAGGAAAACACATTAGCTCAATTATGCCATCACAATGAATCCCTTCCAAGCTGCTCTCAGATAACCGATTTGTACCTGAAAGTTAAGGTCAGTTATTTAATAGACCACTGTGGTATTTCGATAATATGATGAAGAGTCATTTACAACACTACGGCTGACTTGCGCTCTGAAGAATCCAATTGTTCAAATCATTAACACGTCCACGGCTCACGGCTCACTGCTGCAGTGCCGCATCCGTGTATCCCAAATACAAAAATGATAGTTACCCGGGAAATCAATGTTTAAGTGCCGAAATGGTCAAACTAAAATTATATGGGACTTAAAGTGTCATACAAAGTCTGATTTTATGCACCTTTTTCTCCTGATATGTACATGAGATTACTAAAACTCAGCACTTATGAGATGCTGGCATTTACTCTGGAAATGCATGAGGAGTTTGCAAATAAAGTACACATACCAAGTTCCCACTCTAGCAGGTCAATTTCCTACACGAAAAGGATCCTGACAATGCAAAACTGATAACTACTGAGCTCTATCTACATCTGAAGCTAATAACGAAGCTAATAATGTTCTATCTATATGTTGGCTAATTAAAAAAAAAAGAAAAGTAAGAAGAATCCTAACAAAACTAATAAGCCTTAAACTGAGTAATCCCAATATGCTACATCCTTCTTAAGGAAAAAGGTCTTGGGCAGCCCCGGTGGCTCAGCGGTTTGGCGCCACCTTCAGCCCAGGGCGTGATCCTGGAGACCCGGGATCAAGACCCACGTCGGGCTCCCTGAATGGAGCCTGCTTCTCCCTCTGCCTGTGTCTCTGCCTCTCTCCCTCTCTCTGTCATGAATGAATAAATAAAAATATTTTAAAAAAATAAAAAAGAAAAGAAACAAGGTCTTTACCTCAGTAGCCTTCGTTCTTCCCCACTGCTGAATATTCAGGACTATTTTTTAAATAGTTTTTCAGCACAATCAAATTTTGAAAGGGGGCAAAAATCTGGACGGCACCTTCGGGCCGCCCATAGGAGATTTATCTGTAGTACTCCTTCACGTAAGTTACAAGCATCTAATGACAGCTGGACAGAACAACCAAAGTGGGGAAGTGAAAATATATGCAGGAAGTAAGATGGGAAGAAAACCTTAATCATCCACATTTTTCAATGTTTAGGCTGAAAGTAGGTGATAATAGCCAATTTCCTCTGTACTCAGCAAACATGGCTCATCTACTGATATATTTTCCCTAAACTTCTTTAGGAAAAGCCAAAACAAATCTTAAGCAGTAAGAAGAGAGATGCCTCTGGTAGTCAGGGGCACTACTGTCAACCACGATGGCTGCCGAAGCAGGTGGCAACAGGGGTCTGAGTCCGTGGGATCCTCTTACCTCACTGTAGGAAGAATGAAAAGAAAAACAAGCTCTGTATGAACTCTCTCCAGTCCTAAAGGGAAATGAAAACACAAAAATTAAAAGGTCTTTTGACAAAACCAAGCTAAGTTCTACATTTCGTGCCTTCTCATTTAGTCTACTCCAATATGCAATCACCCTACAATCAAAGGTTTCTCCTTGGACAAGAGGGAACTCTTTACAGAAATATAAGTATTTGTAGACATTCTGAATACCCAATATTAAAGAAGTGTTGCCAAAATGGGATGATCGCTATGGTTCTCCTCTGCTCCACCGAGGGCTTCTATCCCCTGCAGCGTCAGCCCCCCACTCCCTGACAAGCAGGATGCCCTCAGTCTCCAGCCACCCAACCGGAGTAGACCTCAGCAAATACTGGCTAAAGACACTGGCCATCAGACAGGTTGGGAAGCAGAACCTTTTTAAATAGCGTTTAAATTTCAGAAGTTATTCTCCGTAATTATAGTGCATCCTCTTCCCTGGGTTAGGCTCAATTGCGTTTAAACTAAATCAGAGAAGTTACCTCAAAAGCAAGGTTTCTCTCAAAAGAGAGGTTGCTTTCTTACCTCACAATTACATTTGTTTTTCTGGTTCTTTCTCCAAACCACATAGTGGATGGCTTAATGCTGATTGTGTGGAGCGGGATTCTGTTTTTGGAAATAGCTCCACAAGGTAATTTATTCCAGTGAAAATATTCCTCTGCCTAAAAAAGATTGCAAAGAAGGAAAAGCAGTTCAACATTTTCAACAAATCTGTCTGTAGGCAGGGTCTCAAAAACAAATGTTTCTAAGTTTACAGACATGACAAAAAAGTAGATGTAAGGAGACAATCAGATAATCCCAAATTTAGGAACATTCTGCAAAACGACTGGCCTGGACTCTCTGAAAATATCAGTGTTCTGAAAGAAAAGCCAAAGGCTGGAGACCTGATCTCCATCGAGAGATAAAAGAGGGCACAGGGACCGCAACACACACCTGATCGTAGCTCGGGACGCCCTGCTCCCCCGCGCCACATGCTAAAAAGGACACTGCTCCACAACAGGGAAGCATGGATACGGGCTACACATCCAACTTTTTCAAAATACAGTTCGAGGGAAAAGTAACAAAAATGCTTTTAAAGGGCTGCAAAGCAATGAAACTGTTTTCCCAAGGACATCACGTTTGGAGAGGGGTCCTGCAAAACCATTAGCGCTCCATCCAAATCCGATGTCTCGGGAGGCCTCTGGAGCCTGACGAGGCGGAGGGGTACGCCAGGGCTCTGTGAGCTGTACCCCTGAGGCCGGGGGACCAAGACCAAGCAGTTAGAGGAGGGTTTCGAGGCAGGCAGCCTTGTGGGAAGTGACGGAAGTGACAGTTACAAATTCAGCTACTTGTGGGATGTAAGAAAACTCAGAGCAGAGACAAATCTGCCAATTAAGAGATTTACTGGGCTTGTGAGGACAAAGGCTACAAGTCAGGCACTGGGTGCTCAGCCGGTTAAGTGTTTTGCCTTTGGCTCCAGGAGTGATCCTGGGGTCCTAGGATCAAGTCCCTGAATCAGGTGCCCTGGTCAGCAGGGAGTCTGCTTCTCCCTCTGCCTGCTGCTCCTCCTGCTTGTGCTCTCTCACTCTCTCTCAAAGACATTTTTTTTAAAAAAAATAGAAAGAAAAGGGACAAAACAGTTGCTATTCTGTATCTATCGGACTTTGCTCCATCTGTGAATTCAGTGAGTATGTGCATGTCTCTGTGCACGAAAACAAAAAGATGAAATAAATTCGTATTTGAGTTATAATATGCAGCTTACCAATCATCAAAATAATTTCTCACCTTGTAGTTACCCTATAGTGGTCTCAAGTAGAATAGGCCAGGCTGTAGATAAGAATTCTTTTTTTTTTTTTTTTAAACTATGCTTTACTTTAGGGCTGAGCAAGTTTACTTTAGGTTTTTGGCAATGGAGCCAATATTATTACCACAGTGAGTATCTAAATATATAAATGCAGTGTTTACTAAAATGAAAATTACTCAGCATTTGAATGCTCAGATATTTTAAAATTTAGAGGGATATGATGATCATGCAATCCCACTTCTGAAGATCATGATTATGGCTAAATAAATTGAAAGGGAAAAAAATGTTAAGGGCAAATGCAAAATTTAATACCTGACATTTAATAACAGGACATTTAATAAGTGATGAGAGTTCTAGGGTGGCATTCGAAAATAAATTACAAATGAGGGGCAAAGACACTAAAAATGGTCATTTGAAACTGGCCCAGCAATCCATAACACCATTTCTAAGTCTGAAGCAAAGTTATACCTAAGTATTTATCCCAAATAAGTAGAAGAAAAATAGTTTATAAATGTTTTAAGTTAGAAGCTCTAACATATTACTATTTCCATTATAAATACATTACTCATTACATAATTCATTACAAATAAACATGTATCAGGGATCCCTGGGTGGCGCAGCGGTTTGGCGCCTGCCTTTGGCCCAGGGCGCGATCCTGGAGACCCGGGATCGAATCCCACGTCGGGCTCCCGGTGCATGGAGCCTGCTTCTCCCTCTGCCTATGTCTCTGCCCCTCTCTCTCTCTCTCTATCATAAATAAATAAAAAAAATTAAAAAAAAAAAACAAATAAACATGTATCAAATGTGTATGGATTTATTTCATTAAACAACCAAGAGGGTCTGTGTCTGTTGACTACCATGCAGTTTATGGAACATAGTAACGTCTAGCTGCGTGGCCTGGGGTATCTCAGCCTGTCTTCACATTTGTAAACTGAAGGGCCTAGAAAATAGGATTTCACAGCTTCTTTCTGGACCAACAATTTTGTTTTCCCATTCATCACGCCAACAGTGAGAAAAACAATGGACTCCGTACCTTCGGATGACGACAGGCATGGATCTGAGTGTTACGGTCTGTTGTGAGATGATGGAGAATGTCTGGCATGTTTCTAAACATGTCTAGTTTGTCCACGTGAATCTGAGTAAAATAGCACATATAAGCGTATTATTTGAATTGTATTTCCTATAAAGAAATTGTTCAAGGGTAATTATGCAGGGCAAATCATCCAGTTAGTGAACTCTTTCTTCTTTCTTAAAACTTAAGTTTTTGGCAGCAGCACTTGGGATGAAGCCCCATGTTGGGCTCCCTGCTCAGCAGCGAGTCTGCTTGTCCCTCTCCAAATAAATAAAACCTTTAAAACAAAATACAGCCCTAGTTTTTGGCTATTTCCGTCCACACCAGTAATCTGCTGGCTGTCAACAGCGAAGGACAAAGATCATATCCCCACCGGTCAGCATTAGTGCCTATCGGTGGTAATAAAACATGCTGGGGATTCGGCTGGGGGCTTTCACTGAATCATGCTAATACCGCTGGCCTCGAACGACTGTGGTGCCCCAACCCCCCATAGTCAAAAAAAAAAAAATCCCCATCACTTTCTACTCCCCCAAAACTTAATTACTCTAGTAGCCTATTGTTGACCAGAAGCTTTGCCCATAACATAAACAGCCAATTAACACAGATTTCATAGATGGATCACATACTGTATTACAATAAAGCAAGCTAACAAAATGTTATTCAGAAAATCATAAGGAAGAGAAAATGCACTGAGTACTGCACTGTACTTTTATGGGTTGAAGTACAGCTTACGCAGTGTTACATCAGTTTCAGGGGGAGGCACAGCGATTGGAGGAGGAGAAGGACACTAGAACTCTCTGTCATGCCGTGCTCACCACCAGTGTAGCCACCATACGTTACCACATAGGATATGATAGCACATCTGTCAAAGAAGATCCACGTATACGTGGACCTATGCAATTCAAACCCACACTGTTGGAGGGTCAATTCTGCTGTCCTTCATCAAGAGTCATTCAATGCCTATTTACTGTGCACCTACTACCTGCCAAGTCTTATTCTAAATACTGTTCACTAAATACTGTGAACACACAGACACACAAACACCCAACAATCACTGACTTGGGAAGACACATCTCCAACGTGCTGCATAAGTAAGGGCAGTTTTAGAGGGAACACCACTGGAGCAGGAAGCAAGAGGCCCAGATCCCCCCTTAACACACATCCCTTTGCAGGAGTAAAAGGAGGAGGAAGGCAGATGGAAGGGGAAAAAAATCCAAACAACCTTAGCCACCTGTGGAATTTTAAGGTGAATACATTTTAAATTGTTAAGCCAATGTGTCAGTTTTTTAAAAAATATTTTATTTATTTATTCATGAGAGAGACACAGAGAGAGAGGCAGAGACACAGACAGAGGGAGAAGCAGGCTCCATGCAGGGAGCCCGACGTGGGACTCGATCCCAGGACTCCAGGATCACGCCCTGGGCGGAAGGCAGGCGCTAAACTGCTGAGCCACCCCAGTGTCACAATGTGTCAGTTTTAAAGGATTCTCTTCTTTTAGAGACGTGTACCTAAGCAGGTGGTAGGACTATGAAGTGGCACAATAAGAACTAGTCTCATTTTGAAATCTGACTGACAACAGATTGGAATACAGTCAAACACTGTGGTAATTAATACCAGACATGCGTGAAAAGGATCCAAGTGTCATTGCTTACTTACCCTGAGGCCTATTCCACTCACTCCCTGTTTACTAACGACTAACAAGAAGCAGCAACAAATTTGCTTTTCTGGACTCTGTACAGAGATGAAAAGGGGTGAGTTCTGAGGTGTACAGAGATACAGAAACTTTTGTCCTCAACAAAAATAAAGAAGCCTGAAAAAGTTGCCACAGACCATCTCTGAGGTCCCTTAGTCAAACACCTCCCTGTGGTCCCTTAGTCAAACACCTCCCTGTGGTCCCTTTTGAAATTCCTGATCTGAAACTGATTCTAACCCCTGCAGAGGGATTAATGGGCAGAAGAGAGGGCTCCCTCCAGAGGTCACCGGGCCACCCCCAAGGCTGCTCTCCCCTATCCACAGCCCATGGTTTCTTCCAGCAGAGCCTGCAAGAGCAAGAGCTTCAACCCTTCCCGGACTTCACACACGCAAAAATTTACAACCCAAATTTGGCACCTGCTAAGTGGCTGTTACCTTCCTATTTCACTAAGAGAGGCCAGGAGGGAAAAAACAATGGAGAACAGAGATCAGCGTGTGTGTATGTATGTGTGTGCACGTGCGTGTGCTCACAACCTATCCTCACTGTGATTTTAATTAATTTTTTTAAAGATTTACTTACTTACTTACTTACTTACTTATTTATTTATTTATTCATGATAGACATAGGGGGAGAGAGAGAGAGGCAGAGACACAGGCAGAGGGAGAAGCAGGCCCCATGCCGGGGGCCTGACACGGGACTCGATCCTGGGACTCCAGGATCGCGCCCTGGGCCAAAGGCAGGCGCTAAACCACTGAGCCACCCAGGGATCCCCTGATTTTAATTTAAAAGGCCATTTTAACACCCAAATTACAGGAACGACAATCTCAGAATGAAAGCAAACCCTCAAAACGGAGAATTTACAACTTTATACCAATATATTTTGACAGAAGGAAAGAAGGACCAAAGGAGTCGCGACTTACGAAGGAAGGGAGGGAGGAATTTATAAAATGTCCAATGCAGAAAAACTAGATCTTTTTTATTTTACTGAACGACATTGTGTATGACTGAATTTTTGGCACAAGTCTGTTGGCTGGAGGGCGGGGAGGGGCGGGGGGGGGCCAGAGATCCATGTTACAAGGCACAAAATGGAATGGAACTGGAATGTCCAACTAGCTCCAGCACTTTGTTTTATTCAGGGTCATTTTTCTCAGGGACAAGCAGAAGCCACATGCTCGCAGCCACACTCACACCCCAGGCTCCGCTGTCAGCCTGAGAGCCCAGCACCAAAGCACGTGGAAGGGAAGATGAAACAGAACACCCTCCCAGCCTGATCGGGGGCAGATGGATCCATCCAAAGGGTTCGGTGCTCGAGGACAGTGGTTTTCACACACCTTGACCAGGACCCACGGTAAGAAATGGGTTTCCCAGGGCACCACTGCACACACGCGTACATGCATGTGTCTGATTCCCTAAGTAAACTGTCACAAAATGACAATTACTCTGACTGTAAGCAATACACTCAGATCGCTACATTTATTTCACCACCCACAGTTTTGAAAAAAATACTTGCTCTACAGAATATTTCGCCAAAGGGCTCTTCCCAGCCACCAGGGCTGCAGTGGGCTCCTCCTATGAGGACGCGAATAAACAGAGATGACCTCTCACTCCACAGGGGCTGCCAACCTGCGCCACACATGCCTTTGTTTTGGTTTAAGATTTTATTTGACAGAAAAAGAGAGAGAGAGCACCTGCACGCACACACACAAGCAGGGGGAGCAGCAGGGGGAGCAGCAGAGGGAGAAGCAAAGGGAGAAGCAGGCTCCCCACTGAGCAGGGAGCCTGACCTGGGGCTCGATCCCAGGACCGGGAGATCATGACCTGAGCAGAAGGCAGAGGTTTGTTTGACTGAGCCACCTGGGCCCCCAACACGCTGTCTTTCCCTCTGCTACTGCGGCTGGTTATTGAGGGGTTGGGAGGGGGAGGAAAGGAGAACCTGGAAGGATGGAAGGAGCAACAGAAAAGAAAGAGCCATCACCGTACCTGGACTCCAAACTCTTCACTAAGGTTGGTGAATAGATACTCATACCCGTAAGCTGCTTTGCAGTTCAGCCACACAACATGGTAGGGACTGCGAGTGATCCAGCTTCGAACCAGCTCCGATATTGCCCTCAGACACTCCTCCTGGGCAAGAGGTTTAAAAGGCATTTAATGCTTTTAAGAACATCACTCACCCCTTCTACTCCCAACAGTCACAGGCATTAATGCCAATTAATTATGGGACGATTATGATCTGACCTGTTATTCTAGAAACCCCCCACTAGAAATACAGCCACACCCCAGTCACTACCCTGCCTCTCTGGGGAGACTTACTCGACTAGGAATTTGATAAAATTTCGGATCACAGAAAGTAGTATCTAAGTACACACTTTGGATGTCTTTCACTCTGGAAAAAAAAACAACACAAGAACAACAACAATTAGGGTTTAAAAAAAAACAATTAGTGTCAACCACCTACCGTGAAATAAAATATATGTGAAATTTAAATTCTCAGTGATTTTATTTTTTTAAAAGATTTTATTTACTTATTCATGAGAGACACACAGAGAGAGGTACAGACACAGGCAGAGAGAGAAGCAGGCTCCATGCAGGGAGCCCGATGTGGGACTCGATCCCAGGACCCCGGGATCACACCCTGGGCCAAAGGCAGGTGCTAAACTGCTAAGCCAACTAGGGATCCCCTTAAGATTTTTTTTTTTTATGATTTTATTTATTTATTCACAAGAGACAGAGAGAGAGAAAAGCAGAGACACAGGCAGAGGGAGAAGCAGGCTCCATGCAGGGAGCCCGACTTGGGACTCAATCTCGAGACTCCAGGATCATGCCCCGGGCCGAAGGCAGGCTCTAAACTGCTGAGCCACCCAGGGATCCCCAAATTCTCAGTGATTTTAGAGGGTGCTCCATTCCATTTGGAATTTTTTTGTGAAATCAACTTTGTTAGGAAATGATTTCCACACAATAAAATACAAAGATTTTGTAAATGTAGCTCGGTGAATTTTGACAATTCACGTAACTACTGCCCCAATCAATTTACAGAAAGAATGTTACCATCACCCCATTGCAAGGAGAAAAATTTGTTTTACTGTCACAAATAGTATAATAAACTTCAATTTCTTTTTTTTTTTAATTTTTTATTCACTTATGATAGTCACACACAGAGAGAGAGAGAGAGAGGTGCAGAGACACAGGCAGAGGGAGAAGCAGGCTCCATGCACCGGGAGCCCGACGCGGGACTCCATCCCGGGTCTCCAGGATCGCGCCCTGGGCCAAAGGCAGGCGCCAAACCGCTGCGCCACCCAGGGATCCCCTAAACTTCAATTTCTAACTGAAACATAGGCTTGTACTTGGGGGGAAGGGAGCAGTAAAACTTCTTAGATGATTCAGCCCTCCAGTCAAGAATTACATGAAGTCTGGGGGTACCTGGGTGGCTCAGTCAGTTAAGCAGCTGACTTGACTTCAGCTCAGGTCATGATCTCAGGGTCTAGAGATGGAGCCCCACGTTAGGCTCCGTGCTGCCTGTGGAGTCGGCTTGGGATTCTCTCTCCCTCTGTCCCTAACCCTCCCCCTGCTTCTGCAAGCTCTCAAAAAAACAAAACAAAACAAAACAAAACCAGACAAAGTCTAATACCTGCCTCCGGAGTGCAGAAGCTCCATTCTAGCAGCTTCTCCCTTTGCCATTCTGAAGTCTCCTGTGTACAAGACTGTTCCATTATTGCCCTGAAATAAAAACCTGAGAAGGAAATTTGTCTTGGTGACTTTTAAGTCTCATACAACATCCTAACAAAGCAAATATACACTAAATCCACAGCAAATGTTTCCTGACGAACAGAGCCACCTACGATATAGTATTAATGGGATTTTAATATAAGCTCTAAACTATACCAGCCACTCAGCTGCCACCTTTCCTGGGGGGAATAACACAATAGAATATACTTCCGCATTTGCAACAGACATCCCCTGAAATGTGTTGGCTCTCCCAACTATGTGTGATCACTCCTACTCATGGAGAGAAAAATCCATGGGATGGGAAAATGCAAAGCCAACAGAGAAATGGCCATGGAACACTTCTGTTAAAAGACAGCCACACAGGTCAAACTTGATTTCACCTCAATCCCCCAAGTTCAATTTTAAAACAAAGATGAAAGAAATTGCCACCTACATATTAGAGAAGTAATCTCCATACATGTTATTATTTTCTAGACCCTGAAGATTTCTACAAATACAATACATGTATAATAAAATAGCAAAATAGATGGGCTCCCTTACATAACTGATCCTGGACAGTGACCAGCTGGTAAGAGAGTCACAACAATATCTTCCTTCTAAAAAGAAAATAAAGAAAAAATAACAATGATATAAATTATCGTTAGGACCTTGCCTAAAAAAGCGCTCCTTGGTAGAATAGATTCAAGTACTTCTCAAGAATACGGTACGCCTTTTCTCATTTCTTCATGCAACAAATCCTGGAAACAAGTAGAATCCTTGCCCACAAAATGATGGTTAAGCATAGTGACTAGTATAACCCAGCAATTCCGCTCTGAGGTACACATGAAATGAAAACTTACATCCATTCATGCAGGAAAACCGGTGCACGAATGTTCACAGCAGCAGTATTCATACTAGCTAATGAGTAGAAAGACCCTGAATGTCAATCAGCTGATGAGCGAATTCACAAAATGTGGTACATCCATACAATGGAATATTATTTGGGCCACAAAAAAGAGACAAAATACTGACATCATATCACAAAATGGATAAATCTTGAAACCATGATGCAAAATAAAGGTAGTAAGTCACAAAAGACCACATAACTGTTTGATTCCATTTATATGAAATGTCCAGAATAGGTGAATCCTATAGACTTAGAGTAGTGGTTGCCATGGGCTGAGGGAGGGAGAGACAGGGAATTACTGCTAATGGGTACAGGGTTTCTTTTTTGGGTGATGAACATACTTGAAAAACGACTGTAGTGATGAATACACAACTCTGTGAATATACTAAAAGCCACTGAACTGTACATTTCAAATGGGGTGAGCCATATGATATATGAATTATAAGTCAATAAAGCTATTATTAAACTAAAAAATAAAATAAAAATAAAAAGCCTGACATAGCCTGGCCCCAAGTCACCATTCTGTCCTGGGCAGAGCTAATAGGCAGAGCTCTGGACACCCTGGCTCGCTCCCTGATAGTGGCAATTACTTCTGGAAGTCTAACATCATTCATTCCAACAGCCCCTTTAGAGCAAGGTCCCAGGATAAGTGCTGGAGGCACAACACACGAAGCCACAGCGCATGAGAACAAAGGACCAGAGTGGAACAGCAAGACTCTGGTCAGTAGGAGCTGCCTGCTGTCTGGTGCCCAGATTTGACAAAGCCTGTCACCAACATAAGCGGCAAGGCAGTGAGGTGATCAGAGGAGTCTAGTGTTAGCTAACTGAGTCCAGGACAGCATTGAGCAACCTTCAGGCCACCCCTTTTACCTCCTTTTTAACCCACCCTCAACTGGCCCTGCAGTCCTCACTTGGATAACAAATAGAAGAGGACTGCTTCACACGCCTGATCGTCCCCAGAGAAGAAATGTGAAAATTCAGCCCCCGCCTGGTCACAGAGAGTGGACACCCATCAGAGTTCAACGTGTCAACAGAGCAGGTTATAACCAGGCCATGGAATTAATATTACCTAGATTTACCATAAAATAGGAAAATACTTCCTGGCCCTAGGAAGAATTTGAGTTAAAACAATAAATAAAAGGCAGGTCCGTAATCCTGCATATTATTAAAAAAATATATTCACAACACCAAAGTATCTGCTTCTAAATTTAAGGACAAAAAATATATTGGATCCACTTGGACACTTAAGTGGATTTTCTTAAGAAATGATTCAGGAAAAAAAGAAAATCACAAATACATAAATTTGCTACAAAAGCACTAAACACCGTATTATATCCTGAATATTAAAATAAACTTAATAAATTTGACAATGACATCAGAGTAATAACAACTGGAGTTCTCAACATTAGAAGGTAATACAAAAAGGATCAATTCAAGACAGGAGTCACGTCCAAACCTTTGCATGTAGAAAAGAAACGGAACACAAATATTTTTCCCCCTACAAACTAACCCAATTACTATAATTTTTTTATGGTAAAATGCACATTCAATATCACAGAGAAAGTCAATCATCTTACTAAATAATACTTTCTTAAAATTAAATTTAACATTTACTTACCTCCCCTGATGCTTCATCAACTAAAGGTATCTGGGTAGGAGTTTCAATTTCAATGGATATCTATTAAAATAAGAGATCGTATGTACACCATACTGAGTGTTTCTACAGTTTTTCATGGATTTATATGTCTTTGCCATCTCAAACACAAAAAAAGGACTAAGATGTAGTTATAAAACTCTCTGCGTAACAATTTCTGATTCACGGTACCAAACGTTTCCACAGTCTGAAAACATGACAGAGCTAAAGTAGTGCCTTTCTCGAGGGGCCATGGCAACATGGGTTAAATGCCTTCTAAACCTACATATCCTTTGACACGGCCATTCTGTTTCAACTTTTTCCCTTAACCTCCCCATCCCCATCTTTCCACTGCCCTCTCCCTCTGAACCTGAGTCTCTGTAACGAGATTCAGTCAGCTACTACCTTAATCAGGATGTTCACACAGCCATATGTGAAACCGTCAATATCAAATCTGCCAGAAGAATGAGCAACTTACCTCTTTACTATATCCCACAAAAGCACACCTAGTGTGGGGAGTATTTGTCCTTGGAACATCTGGCAAAATGCACCTATAAAACCATCTGGACCTGGGACTTTACTGAAGAAGAGATCTTTGCAAATTGTTTTCATTTCCTCAATGTTTACTTATTCAAGGTTTCCACTTTTCTTGCCTCAGTCTGGTTATTTTCCTACTTATCCAGAGATTTATCCACTTTGCCCAAATTATCAAATATACTATCATTCATTTTCAAAAAAAATGTACTGCTGCTATTAATAGTTCTTTTCCTTTTTATAATTCTGTATTTTTATATGCATCTTCTTTTTTAAACATTGACAGAAATCTAGTTCTACTCCTCTAAAGATGAGCTTTGACTTTTGTCAACCTTCCCTTTTATTTTCTGCGGTAGCTATTGGTCTCTGCATCGCTAACTTGTCCTTTTACCTTTATTATCTCCTTCTTTCACATTTGTTGTTCCTTCTCCTTCTTATGGAGTCAAAGACTCATTCCATGTAATTCTAGTCTTTGTTTCCTAAGAGATGTACTTAATGCTGGCAACTTCCCTTCAAGTGCTAATTTAGCCATGTTACACACATTTTGACATGGTGTGTCTTCTTCACTGTCCGTCAGTCCTAAGTATTACATGGTTTTCTTTATAATTTCCTCTTTGACCTAATGGTCGCTTATTAGATGCACTCAGTTCCAATAGGTGTGGGATGATCTGAGCTCTCCTTTTATTTGTGACTTCCAGCATCACTGCACTGCAGAGGACAGATCACTAGGATTTCCTGCTTCTTCTGCGACACAGTATGTGGTCAATTGTTGTAAATGTTCTGTGTATACCAAAGATCTGGTTTTCCCTTTGGGTGCCTCGGACTGCCATGAGTTCGCCTTTATTAGTCATGCTCTTCAAGTCTCTGCGCTTACTTCCTGCCTCCTTCCTCTTTCAGCTTCTGAGCAGTGTGGGAAGTCCTCCAGCTACTCCTGTCAAGCAGCCTAGTCTCCCTGAGACTGTGAGGGGGCCTTGGACTGCACCACTCCTCGAGCTGGAACTGTCCTACAGGTCCCTTCGGCATACACCTCCAGGTTGGAGCTAGCCGCTAGAAACATCTGTGTGAGATGCGGACGGCCAAAGTGAACCAGCAGCCATTTCTTAATGCTCTGAAGAGCTCCAGAAACTCCACCAGTTCATGGATGTGTATCTGCTGGCTCAGCTCACAGACACAGGGCAGGACTGCAGCAATCCCACCTGTGGCTGCATATCCTCCTTCGGCTTCTTGAAGGCCTGGGCAAGGAGCACAGAACCTACCAAGGCTGGAAGGAGTGAGAGACAGACAGGGGCTCCAGTCTGTCCTTGTAGACTCCAGCCCAGCTCTTCTCTGCTCTTCATTTCTCAGCTCCACTTCCTGACTGCAGGCTGGGCTGATCCACAGCCAATGTCAGGCCTAACACTGGGCCGAGGTTCCAGCCTTGGCGTGTAGGGTCACTGTGCGGAGTGGGGATGGATCCCACCAAGTTACTGTCAGAGGTCGAGGCTGAACGTGCCACACGTACACTGAGAGGCTATGAAAACCCCGTATTTCTCATGCTGTGGGACTTTACGGAGACAGGAGAGCAGTGCTCCAGCTGGGAGGAAGTGGCTCTCATGGCCTGAAGACCGTAGGAGCAAGTGGCCCTGGGTTTTTATTGTGGTTAGGGGGTATGTCTGGGCTTGTGGTTTGAACTTCATGTCAATGCCAAGGGAGGGGTAGGCTTTTTTTTATTAGCCCGCCCAAATGTGGGGTACTAGTGGAAAGAGGATGTGAGAGTTGAAAGCTGTCAGTAGACAAACATCAGACTCTGACACTTGTTCAGACTTCTCTGGCAGCTCCCACAATTACTTAAAGTTTAATCTGTATAGTGAACCCTAACTGTATTTCCCCCACAGCCGTCCTCTCTCTCTGATCAAGCACCAGGTATCAGTTACTGTTTTATCCAGTTTGAGGCCAGTATGTCAATTGGACGTTAAAATTCTTATCTTTCCCATCCTCTGTTCCTTCTGACAGTAAATAACATCCTCTTTGAAACAAAGATCTCTTTTTGCCTTCGATTCTATTTTGTATGATACAAAAATTGCCACTCTGGCATTTCTGGCTTCTAACTGTTGAGTACATCTTTTCCCTTTTTGGATTATTCTTTCCATTTCAACCTGCATTTCTCCTTCTGTTTTATCTAAGTCTCTTGTAGACTAAGACTGATGGAGCTTTCTTTTCTTCTTTTTTTTTTTTAACCTAAACTGAAAAAATTACAGTTTGAGCAAAAGTTAAATTAAAGCCATATTTATAGTAATTACTGCTATAACAGAACCTTTCCTGGCATCTTTACATTTTCCATATACCATTCTTTTGTTTCTCCCCTTTACTATCTACTTTCCATTGAACAATTTTGAATCTGTCAGATTCAAAGTTGTCTACTCTATTTTTATTCCGGTTGTTATCCCTTTATCATAACCCATAAGATGTGTTCATTCTTCCCAGGCTACATTGTGACCTAAATAAAATGATTTATCAACGGTGTTAAATATTTTACACTATAAAGCATTAAAATGCAACTTAGCAAGAGTGAATGAGATTAAACCAGCAAAACTAAGACCTGAGATCAAACTGTTAAGGAACAAGAAAAACAAATCGGCAACAATAAAATGTCTGCCTCCTCTAAACTGATGAATTACAAAGACTAAACATCAATATTGTAATTAATGTGGATAAATGTAGTGTAGGAGGAACTGGGCTTTGAATAATTCGAAAGCTTTGTTTAATCGACCTCAAAAAATATTTCCCCTTGAGAAGAAGAGTTAGTGTCATTCAAAAAATAAAACTTACGATTCGTTTCTCCCAAAATCTGTACCTCGGGCTGGTTAACAACAACTCTTTAGTAACAGGTGAACAGTATAAGCAAACCTTCAAGCTGAAAGGAAGAAATTTAGAAAAGTTATGTCAGTACAATCCACAGGGAGCCATCTGGGTGACCAGAAAATACGTTTCATCATATATCAGTTATCTCAAGTCATCCAGACACTCAGCTGGCCCAAAAAGTGTTAGAGCAGTTCCCAACATGCCGCCACCTGTGACTATCTAGGTCTCATCAAGACCGCAAAGAGGGGGGGCACCTGGCCAGCTCAGTCAGTGGAGTGTGCTACTCTAGATCTCGGGGTTGTAAGTTCGAGCCCCACATTCAGTTAGGACATTACTTTAAAATCTTAAAAAAAAAAAAAAAAAAAAGACTGCAAAGGGACAATGGGGAAGAAACAGATGAGAGAAACTACTGGGCCCTCTGACCTCCTCAAAAGAGTGTCCACCATCACTCTTAGTTTTTATACATAAATGTTTGCACATGATTAGGTACGAAGCTGCCTCTCCAGAACAGAAAGGGGCGGGGAACAGAAGACTTCTGTGTTTTACTTCATCTACACCTATTCTATTTTTTAGTGAGCAAAAATTTATTTCATGATAAACTTTAAAAATTCAAAAGCAAAGCTTAGAGGTTAAGAATATAGTCTGTGGTAGACCATATCTTCCAAAGGTGGCCACACTCATATATATCCTGACCATACATGCTCTGTTTACAAAATGGATATGGAAATCCCTCAGGGTTTGTTTTAACCTCCCCTTCAGCCTGTCTTTGTAACTGCCTCCACCAACAGAATGTGATGAAGGAAGGTCACAGGACTTTGGAGGCCAGGTCTCCTGGCAACATGGCTATCTGCTAGCTCTCCCTTGGGACGTACACTTTTTAAACCCTGAGTCTCCATTTAAAAAGTTCAGCTACCTTGAAATCACCATGCTGAAGAGTTTTCCAGCAACAGAGATGCTCGAAAGCCCCAACTGCCTGATTCTTCTCAGCCTCAGTGTCAAACACTGAGTGAATGAACCTCCAGATAATGGCAGCCCCAGAATGCCATGGGGCCGGGCAGAAACCAGCCACTCCCACTGCGCCCTGTCAGAGTTCCTGACCCACAGAAACTGAGAAAGAGAACATAAGATTAGTTGATTTAAGTCACTAAGTTTTGGCGTAATTTGTTACGCAACAGATAACTAATACCCAGCTCGAAAATCAGACAGACCTGGTTGAAATCCTGGTCCTGCCACTTACTGGCTGCATGACCTTGGGCAACTAATTTAATCTCTCTGGTTCCTCAGTTTCCTCATCTGCAAAATAGAAATAATAATGGTATCTTTTCAAAAAATTATCAAGAGGCTCTGATGAGGATGTTGGCTCCAAGAAGACAGGGATTTTCATCTTTGTTGTTACTATTATATCCTCAACATCCAAGACAGTGCCTGACTCATCACAGGCACTCAGAAAAACTGCAGAACTGATAAATACATAGTGCCTGGCATATTTATAAGTAATCGATTAACCGCAGCTAGCATTACCAGGATACACGGACTACTGATACCACTTTGCAGAGAAGACTGACATCCATTGGTTCAGAAGTTAAAAAGTCAACCCCCACCTGTGAACTCTCTCTCTCTCAAATAAATAAAATCTTTAAAAAGAAAAAAAAGTTGGGGCGCCTAGGTGGCACAGTCGGTTAAGCATCTGTCTTCAGCTCAAGTCATGATCACAGGGTCCTGGGATCGAGCCGCATATCAGGCTCCCTGCTCAGTGGGGAGCCTGCTTCTCCCTCTCCCTCTGCCCCTCCCCCTGCTCATTCTCTTTTTCTCTCTCAAATAAATAAAATCTTAAAAGAGAAAAAAGAAAAGGAAAGGAAAGGAAGTCAACAGGGCCCTATCCAACATATATCTTGAGAATTTGGAATTGACACTGAGGCAAAGGACAGCTGTAGGAAAAGAATACTGTAGTTTAGCTTTAAGATCCAAAAACATGATTTTCTTCACAACAGAACCACACATACACGTGAAAATGAACACACTATTGCTACACCCAACAGCATGAGGAATCCCACAATTATAATGTTAAGTGAAAGAGAAGTAGAATCATACTGAATAGACTGTATGATTCTACGTACACAAAGTTCACAAACAGCCAAAGCTAAACCACAACAACAACAAGTTAAAGTACAGGTTGCCTCTGGGAGAGGACTGACTGGGGGGAGGGACGGGGCTCTGCTCTGGGACATTGGTCCTATTCTATTTCTTGATCTGCGTGGAAGCTCTATAGATGTGCTCACCTGTAAAAGTTCATCCAACTGTACCCTTATTCATTGTATGTACTTTCCTGCGTAGAAGTTATACCCCAATAGAAATGTTTACTTAAAAACACACACACAGGGGATCCCTGGGTGGTGCAGCAGTTTGGCGCCTGCCTTTGGCCCAGGGCCCGATCCTGGAGACCCAGGATCGAATCCCACATCAGGCTCCTGGTGCATGGAGCCTGCTTCTCCCTCTGCCTGTGTCTCTGCCTCTCTCTCTCTCTCTCTGTGACTATCATAAATAAATAAAAATTAAAAATTAAAAAAAAAAACAAAAAAAAAAACAACACACACACAAATAAGTAGCAAAATAAATTACCTGCATTCCAGCCTTCTTTTCAAGGCAGGAGCTCTTAATCCTTTCATGTGATCTAAAAACAAAAGAATAAAAATGCATAAGCACTTTTTTTTTTGAGAGGATTCCTTAGGCCAAGCAAACAATTGTCTGTTCTTTTACGAGAAAACAGATGAGAGGTTCATTTTTTTAAAGATTTATTTATTTTAGGGACACCTGGGTGGCTCAGTGGTTGGGAGCCTGACTTCGGCCCATGGCGTGGTCCTAAAGTCCCAGGATCAAGTCCCACATCCAGCTCCCTGCATGGAGCCTGCTTCTCCCTCTGCCTGTGTCTCTGCCTCTCTGTGTGTCTCTCATGAATAAATAAATAAAATCTTTTTAAAAAATTCATTTATTTTAGAGAGAAGGAGAGTGTGTGCACACATGTGCAAGGATGGTGAGGAGGAGAGAAGCAGACTCCCCACTGAGCAGGGAGCCCAACACGGGGCTCGATCCCATGACCCTGAAATCAAAATCTGAGCTGAAACCAAGAGTTGGACACTGAACCAACTGAGCCCCCCCAGGTGCCCCAAGAGGTTCTCTTTTTTTTTTTTAATTTTTATTTATTTATGATAGTCACACAGAGAGAGGCAGAGACACAGGCAGAGGGAGAAGCAGGCTCCACACACCGGGAGCCCGACGTGGGATTCGATCCCGGGTCTCCAGGATCGCGCCCTGGGCCAAAGGCAGGCGCTAAACCGCTGAGCCACCCAGGGATCCCCAAGAGAACAGATTCTTATGGACTATTGGCTCTTTCTTCTGCAGGTGACAATGCATCTGAAAACAGGTCAGGAACCACTGAAAGCTGGCCATCTCTCGCCATCACTTAAAAGGACAATGATCAAAAAAATAATAAAAAAATTAAATTAAATTAAATTAAATCAATAAAATAAATAAAATAAAAAATAAAATAAATAAAATAAAATAAAATAAAATAAAATAAAATAAAATAAAATAAAATAAAATAAAATAAAATAAAATAAAATAAAATAAAATAAAATAGAAGGACAATGATCCCCTCCACCTTAGGAGAGTCTAAATCACTCTGAGGAGCCACAGAAGAATGAGTGACTAGACCCTCATTTCAGAACTACTTCCAGCACTTTCCTTTATGTTCTTCTTTCATTTCTATCCAACCCTCTGTCATGCCCCGCTCCATGTGACCCATTCAGTTCCAGTCACTTCAGTCAGTCCATCTGGAGACTTGAGCTAGCTTCCACAGAATCTAAGAATTTGTTCAGGCCTAGGCCAGCATGAGAAGGTATGATATTTCCATCCACACAGGCCCACTTCACAGCCCTCCAAATGAACAGGTACAGAGATGGCCTTTAAAAACACAGTAAATTCTAATACATTCTGAATCTCCAGCATGGGAAGGACTAGACAGCAATGGCCACACCTCCTCAGTTGAGTTGAATTAAACCAATCCTAATTATTCTAATTAGTACCACCACCACACATGTGCACGCGCACACACACAGACACACATGGACACACACAGCCTCAACTTCCCTCTGGTGATCCTTAACTCCAGAAAAAACAAGGCACACCCCCCACCACAGACCTTGACCAGACCTGCACCTGTCCCCTCAGAGGGTCAATCTCCTCAGATCACCCCTGGTCCAGGCTTTCAGGGCCCATGGGAGACATCCCAGGGCAGGACTTTCCAAAGAATTTGTGCCATGGCAAAAAGAGGCTCAATCAGGACTTGGCTTCAAGTCCCAAACTAAATCAGCAGATAGCACTCTGTAGCTGCTGTAATCAAGATGGCCCAGGACCACCCCAGCCCCCTCCCCTGACTGCCAGCCAAGAGAACTTGGGCCAATTTACCTGGTGCTGCGAGGACTGTACCCAGCATCTCCTTTATAGGGGCTTTTTCCTTTTCCTAGACCAGATTAAGTCACTGTAAATTGTCCTCTAAGGGGGTCTTCTCCACCCCTGGGCTGATACCTCAAGCCATAGGTCCCCTCTTGTCTTCCAGGCCTTGCTGTGATGCTTAGCAAAGCCTGCCCTGAGCATAGCACTGGGTTCCAGATGGTTCCTAAACAGGACTGAGTGGGCCATGGGATGAGATGTTCTATCTCATTTATGTAATTTTTTTTTCTACCAAGAGTCCACAGATTTTGTCAGATATTCTGTATTAGTCTGTTCAGCCTGACATAACAAAATATCATAGACAGAGCGGCTTAAACCACAGAAATTTCTCACAGTTCTGGAGGCTAACTTCCAAGATCAAAGTGCCAGGGTTGGCTTTTGGTGGGACTCCTCCTGGCCTGCAGACAGCCACCTGCTGCATGCTCACACAGTCCTTCTTCAGGTTGTGTGTGTGGAGAGAGAGGAATCTCTATTCCTCTTTTTACAAGGCCACCAATCCTAACAAATTAGGACCTTGCCCTTATAAGCTTGTGTAATTACTTCCTAAGAGCCCCATCACCAAATAGAGTCACATAGGGAGTTTAGAGCTTCAGTGTGATTGGGGGTGGGGGGGGTCACAATTCAGCCCACAGCACATCCAAAGAAATCTGTTTCTCAAAAGGGTCAAACACTCCCAGTAAGCAATGTGGGAAATTTCTGAAAGCAATTGAGTTCTTGCCTTGATAAGTTTACATCTTCCTTGAGTGAACACACATGTAATGAAAGAAGATGAACAGTTACAAATTGCTCAATGATAGGGAGTCAGTTTCTTGCTTAAGCATAAATTCATGATCATGATTTCAGATTCCTGCAGGCGGATTCTTTCTCCAAACTCGCTACTCCTAAACACGAAGGGCAAGCCCCTAAGCCACACTTCAGTCATGGCTAGCACATTTCGAGTTGAAGCTCAAGACAAAAAGTCAAACAGGTATCCTTGCCCAGCAGGAGACTCACAATGAAAAACAAAACAAAAACAAAAACCATATTCTGAAGAATAAAACGGACTCTCAAAGAGGCTCACGGTGCTAGTTAGCAAATCCAGAGGAAGTACAGACTTTGCTCATTAATGAGAGAGAATTTGTAGCTCAGAGCAAGAAGGCAGAGGCACTTCCTAAAAGCAGTAATTTCAGCATCCTAGAGGTTAAACACGGACAACGGTTGCAACATGAGGCTCCTCTGGCTCTGGAGATGGGCTAGAATTTTTTTTTAAAGATTTTATTTATTTATTTATTCATGAGAGAGACAGAGAGAGGCAGGGACACAGGCAGAGGGAGAAGCAGGCTCCACGCAGGGAGCCTGGTGCGGGACTAGATCCCGGGTCTCCAGGATCACACACTGGGCCAAAGGCAGGTGCTAAACCGCTGAGCCACCAGGGATCCCCAATGTTTTTTTGTTTTAAAGATTTTATTCATGAGAGACACAGAGAGAGAGAGAGAGGCAGAGACGCAGGCAGAGGGAGAAGCAGGCCTGGGTCCCCAGGATCACTCCCTGGGCTGAAGGTGGCGCTAAACCGCTGAGCCACCCGGGCTGCCCAGACTATAACGTCTTAGAGACCCTCCAGCCCTTATCATGGGGGGGGGGGCGGGGGGGGGCACTCAGACTTAAGCCCTAACTGTGTGCAGCTGCTAAATCTTAGTCTTCTGGTTGCCTCGCCTTAAACAAAACTTTTACACTGGATGTGGGCAGAACATCAACAAGGAGGGGGAGCTTGCACTTCATAGAACTTTCAGAGAGGATGCTTGAATGGGTGTCCATGCACTTGCTTGATAATAAATATTGGGGGGGGGGGTAGGTAAGGGCGTAACTGCATCTGAAACTTGTCTTTTTCTTCTTTTTTAAAAATTTTATTTATTTATTCATGAGACACAGAGAGAGAGAGAGAGAGACAGAGACGGAGACAGAGGCAGAGACACAGGCAGAGGGAGAAGCAGGCTCCACGCAGGGAGGCGGACGCGGGACTCGATCCCGGGACCCTGGGGTCACGCCCTCGGCCGACGGCGGCGTTAAACCACTGAGCCACCTGGGCTGCCCTCTTCTCCTTTTTTAAAGGCATTTTATTATTCATGAGAGGCACTGAGAGAGGGGCAGAGACGTAGGTAGAGGGAGAAGCAGGCCCCCAGGACCCCGGGATCACGGCCTGAGCCAACCACTGGGCCACCCAGGTGCCCCCGAAACAGGGAGGCGAAGACGTGGAGGCGGAAGGGAGCGCTCCCCGCTGCCCCCCGACCCTGCGCTGCTAGGAGAGCGACCACAAGAACCTAAGTGTTCAGTTCTGCGCCGTCGCGCAGGCGAGGAGGCCGCAGAGCCAGGCCGGGACACGCGCACCTGCTAGTGTGGGCCCCGGCCCCCCCGCCCCCCGCAGCTTCCCCGCGGCCACTCACCCTTGTGGCAGTGGGACAGGAAGTAGGCGCGGGCCTTCAGGTTCTCCCTGTCGAAGCGGTCTATGGAGATGGTCGGGTACTCGGCCATCTGCCCCTTGAAGGAACTCATAGCGCCGGCCGACCGCCGCGGCTCGCTCCGCACGCCGCCTGCGGAAGCTCGGGTCGGCCCCGCGCCGCGCCGCGCCGCCACTTCCGGGAACCTGCCGCCGCCGCGCCATTGGCCGGCCGGGCGCAGCCACGTCCAATCAGAAGAGCCGTGCAGCGGAGGGGCGGGGCCGAGGGGCGGGGCCGAGGAGCGGGCGGGCTGCTCCGCGGCTGGAGACCCGTGTGGCTCGGCGGTGCGAGCGGCGGGCTGCGGGGCTGCGGGGCCTTGGGCGCGGCGGGCGTGACTCCTGCCCGACGCCTCGCCTGGAAACCGCGGGGGGGCGTCCGGTGCGCAGTGCCCGCTTCTGTGCAGGAGCCGCGTGGCGAAGGGACACGGAACACCTGCAGCAGGTGCTCCACCCCAGGACGCCAGGAAGGGCGATGCAAACCTTCGCTTGCACCTCCTGCTTGTCAACTGAGAGCCTGAAAGCCGAGCTCAGTTTCCCTTCTCCCCTCCTCTTCCCGGTTTCTACCTTAGGGGGTAACCAAGAGGATTGTATGAGGGGAAAAAAATGTACGTGACTCATGGTAGGTTAAGGAACTGCCAGGCCCCGCTTCCATTTATGATCTACAAGCTGAGTAAATAAACGATCCCTAATGATCCCAATTCAGATGCATGAACTTAGGGTCGATAAGTAAAGATCCCAAGGACGGCTTAGCTGCTCACCTTGCCCCCATCCCCCAGCACCGCCCTTTTGAACTATATTTGTGGAAGTTTGGAAGGATGTATAAAAGAAAAAGAAAGTGGTAGGTGAAAAGCAAAAAGCGTTTTAGGGGAAAGGTGGAGGATTTTTTTTTTTCTTAAGCAGACTCCACGCCCAGCATTGGTATTGAACTCACAACCCAGAGATCAAGAATCACATGCTCCACTGACAGCCACCTGGCCCAAGGGCTGGGTTTTTTTAACCACCAAAGTAACTTTATGAAAAGGTTTGTTAAAGTATTAAGATTCACCAAGTGGTATTTATTGGACCTCTTCCCAATAAGTCTCCTTAAACACCACAATATTAATAATCAGAAATAACTCAAACACTCTTGAGGTCTTGCATTGTGCATAACACTGTAATAAACCCTGCAGTGGTTACATACATGACCAACATGTACCTTCAGGTATATTTTCAATCCGTTTGAAGACAACAGATTGCCAACACCTTTGATTTGGTATAAGATGGTTTGTCTTAGAATAAAGGAGGGCTAAGCTGTCTATATCAACAACAAATTCTGCATATCTCCTGGGATCTGGAGAATCTGGTGTGTCAACCTCTGACAGGATTTTGAACTCCTGGCAAGGCAGGTAAAGATAATATTCATAGGCTTATCTACCCACTTATTTATCCTCTCTTCCTTCCACAATGGATACAGTATGAAAGAGTAAAGGGAAATAAGATAAAGGGGGAAAGATAGGTCAGGAAATAGTGAAGCTGGGTAGGCATAGCCCACAGATAGACATGCACTGTTGGAACACATGAGCCAATCATTTGGCTCTTCTAGAGGAAGCCACATTGACTTACTAGCCTTATGCATCCTCAAGACACAAATAAAACAGGTTTTTCAGAAGTCAAATTTTCTGGATACTGAATCCCAAGAGAATTCCTCCTGTGGCTGCTAGTAAAGAAAACTGAAATATAGCCAACAACAGCAACTATGCTGCTTCCTCATCCTGCATTTGGGAATCTTTCCGCAACCCCAAGCTCTTCAGACTTCTAAGTCCCTGATATATTCTGTCTCACAGGACTGAAAACCACTACCAAGTGTATGCTAAATACCAAAAAAAATTCGTTATTGAGGTAGGTATAAGTCTGTTGGGAAATAATTATATATTTTTTTCTTCACTTATAAACTGTTGTCAATCTAAGTAAACATTTGTTACAAATTTACTGTATTATATTCCTTTAGAATAAAGGACATAAAGTGTCTACCAGAAAGTATATGATGAGAGAATATATGTTTTCTGAAGTATGTATCTGTGTGCTAGGGCTGCTGTAACAAGATTGGGTGACTTATACAACAGAAATTTAGTTGTCTCATAGTTCTGGAAGCTGGAAGTCTGAGATCATATTGTATGATTCCACTTATATAAAATTATGGAAAGTGTGAACTGGTCTAAGGTGACAAAAGCAAATCAGTAGTTGGTTGGGGACCCAGGAAACAAGTTCATTATCTTGATTGTGGTGATGATTTCACAGGTGTATGCACATGTCAAAACTTATCAAATTATAGGCTGTTAAATATGTGCTAGTTATTACATTTCAATTATAGCTCAATGGGTTTGTTTTCAAAATGTTTGGAGAGTGTATGGGAGAGTGTGGACAAAGTGAACAAGATTGGCAAGGATATCCCTTCTCTGGAAGAGTGAAGAAGACACTGTATGGCTAACTCCCATAACAGAAGGTGGCTTTGAAAAATCATAGTGTTTATTTTGCCATTAGTTTCATACACCTCTCCAAAACCAATATCTCTTCTTCATACCTCCTACCCTTAACCCTCTGACTGATGAAAAAATGGTATTATACAACTAAGAAAACTAAAGTCAACCCAAAGTCCTGGAAAATGGCAAGTGTTCAATAAATATTAGCTTTTATTATTATTTCCTGGGCATCCACTAAGTGCCAGGCATCGTGCTAGAACCATGAGGTACATAAAGGAATCAGCCCTGGCACAAGACCTTACAATCTGGCAGAAGTAGGAGCTCAGGGAAATAAATAAATGCAGGAAGTTTCACAGGGCTCAGAATGCATTGCAGAGACCGAACAGAAGAGCTCACTTCTGCAAGGAGAAAGGGGCCATTGGCAAAACATAGCAGAGAAGGTGAATTTGAGTTCAACTTCCAGGCCCAGGAACGGCTGAAGTCCCTGGAATGAGCTCTTTTTTCTGTCTGCACCTGGCAAAGAGCTCCTTTTAGCCAAAGTCAAAAGGGATGAAATAATAGGGACTTAATAGGGGAAGTCAAGGCTAACCCAGCTAAGGGACCAGACCATGATGGCTTATTCACCAACCCAAATAGCTTACACTTTAACCAGAGTGACAGCAAGAAGCTGGGTGGTTTGAAATAAGACAGTGACAGGTGAGATCAGAACAGTGTTTCTCAAAGTGTGGGCCCTGGAAAAGCATCACCAACAGTATTTGGGACCCTGTCAGAAATGCAAAATCCCTACCGCAGCCCAGACCTACTGAATCAGAAATGTCCAGCAGTCCCCTGTTTTAACACACTCTCCAGGGCACTCTGATTGATGCTTAAGTTTGCAAGCCACTGGATTTAAGTTTGAAAGAGCACTCAGGTAGCCTGGGGCAGGACATCTAGATAGGAAGCTGCCCCAATATTCCCCAAAATGTGATAATGCGTGTTCATTTATTCACTCAACAAACAGTCCCTGACCATCTACTATGTGCCGCACACAATTCTAGACATTAATGATACAGCAACAAGTAAGCAGAGAAAAACCTATGTGGCAATGGAGTGTACATTCTAGTGGAAATCATGTCTCATTAATATAGTGCCAGGTACTGCCCTAAATGCTTTATATTTGTTATTTCATCCTCACAACTACCCCCATCAGATAGGTACACTTTTTGTCTTCACTTTACAGTTAAGGAAACTGAGGTTCAGTGGCTTGTACAAAGTCATGTGACAACTAGATAGAAAACAGATCCAAATCCAAGGTCATGCTTTAGACATGATGGCCCCAGCATCGTAGTGGCCTTGGTGGCGAAAGGTAGTCATCGAAACATATTGCTTTCATGCCTACTGTGCGCAAGGTACTATTCTAGAAATCTGGTTAACAAGATCACTGTCTTTACGGAAATTACATTCTCGCAGAAGATAAATAATAAAATCAAGAAATAAGCGATTTAAACAGTATAATAGGTGGTGATAAGTGCTGTGGGACAAAAGAAACACTAGAAGGTAGGAAGGGGGATAGAGATCATGGTGGGAGGAGTGAGCTAGTGGGATGGAGCGGGACAATTGAGACATTAACAAAGACCAAGATGAGGAAGTCAGCCCCGGGGGTCATGGGAATGGAGGGAGCAAGACCGTGGCAGGCAGAGGGAAGAATCTCTAACCCAGGCCTCAATGTGGAAGCTGGGCCAGGAATAGCCAGGAGTGGCGTGATCCAGGGCTCCAGAGCAAGGGAAGGTTTTGTTAGTTTTTATTCTGTAAGACTGGGAGCCCTTGCAAGACTGTGAGCAGAGAAGTGACACAATCTGAATTATATAAAGACTTTATTTATTTATTCATGAGAGAGAGGCAGAGACACAGGCAGAGGGAGAAGCAGGCCCCATGCAGGGAGCCCGATGTGGGACTCGACCCGGGGTCTCCAGGATCACGCCCTGGGCTGAAGGCAACGCTAAGCCGCTGAGCCACCCAGGGATCCCCTAAATGTAAGTATTTTAAATACAGGCGTAAACGTAATGATAGAGAAAACTCCTGTAAGCTAGGGATGTTGTTTACTGTAGGTTTACTAATTGTCAGGCTCTAAACTCCACCCCATGGTTTGGTCCACTTCATTTCAACAAAATGAGAAGTGAGGTGGGTCAGACAGGAGGTATCTATCAGGAACCAAAGTCACCAACGGAATTCCGCTTGGTCCCGGGGAAGCAAATCACACATGCTGCTCGCTACCCCTGCCTAGAGCTCAGCGCCCCGCGAGGCTCCACCGCCGCGTCGACTCCGACGCTCCTCTCTGGGCTCGCCGCCCCGCCCACCCTCGCACCTGCGCACAAGGGCCCGCTCGCAGGGGGCGGGGCCGGGGCCGGGCGTCACGCGTTGCTAGGAGACGCGAGGGTCGCCGCGGCGCGGCAGTTGGCCTCTCGCTGCCCGAGCACCGCCGCGCTCTTCTGCGAGCTCCCGGGCGGGGTGCCTCGGCCTCCCCAGGTCGACCAACGAGGGTAACAACGGAGAGCAGGACCCAGGGAGAGCGGGGGAGGGGGGGTGGACATGCCCCGAGGGGCGCGAGCGGCCTGCCCCCCTCCCCTGCGCCCGCCCGGGC